TGAGGCAGTAGTGTAAGTGATGGATGCTGAGGATGCTGAAGACATTCCATAACCTTTTTCTGGATGATGAAAGATGAGTGAAAGATTTTGTTCTTCCCAGCCACTGTTAAACAGGAGACATTGGTTAATTAGACGCCTGGTATTTTGAGACACCTATCCATAACTCTACAAACAGCTCCCCAACATCTTTGTGGTTCGCAACAATCTGATCTTGGTGACTTACAGTACTCTTTGTATTCATGTTTTGCTTTTTTGTCTTGAACTGGCTATGCTTTGAAAGCTCCATTTACTTACTTTGTGTATCTGAACCATCGGTGTGTTGTAAAGCTTCTAGGCTAGCTGACAGCCACCCCCTTGTTTCACCCTTTGTTTTGTTGGATAATCTGTGACTAACCTGGACTGAATTAATTACAAAACAGCTTGTGTATTCTAACCACCTGATTCCTGGGAAACTTGTTGACTAGAGCATAGTATAAACATCTTCATGACTATGGTGTGCAATATTTCCAGGATTTTAAGGGCAGCACAAAAGTAATATAATTTCCTATATTTCCGTATTATGTGGGCAGACATTTGTACAGTATAAAATCAGAAGGGATTTAGAGCAGAAATGTCGGATAGGTCTATATCAATCTTTTTGGAACAGATCGTGATTGTGGCCTCCTTGAACCCCTGCCCATTTAGTTGAAGATGTGTAGACGTATCAAGGAGATTTTTAAGAATTATATTGTTTTAAATTCTGGCTTAGAATTATTTGCCAAATATCCACAATGTTACATGGAAAAATCAGAAACAATTATCTGCTATTAAATATTTCATTATGTATAATTTAGTTCTTTATTCATGGGAAATATTAAGTATGTGCTTTTATACTTGCAGTATCATTTTTTGCATACTGCATATAAGTGTTTGTTTTTGTGTCTGTGTGATAACTTAAAACAGTTACTTCCTTCTGACAAGAAATGGAAGAGGAACGTAGCCTCTCTGATGTTGCTTCTGTTCTTAATTGAGAGATCAACTAAGGCAATGGTTCTGAAATAGGCCAGCAATGAAATTATCATTACTAGCCTTACCATGTTTCTTCAGAAACAAGAGCAACTCAAATTGGAAAATGTTTTGCTTTATGAAAAAAATTTTCTACAACTTGTGCTCCAGGTAAAGTAATGGCTATTTCGAATTGTGAGAGTTGTAGTCCAAAACACCTGGAGGGCCAAAGTTTCCCATGCCCGATTTAGATAGTCAGCATTAATAAGGTTAATTAATCAACTTAACAATAAGGATTTTAACACCTCATCCTCACCGAAATTGCATCATCATATGGAGGAATATTTAATTCCAAAGTACAGTTGCAGCATTCAGCCCTCTGCCTCCTGATTTTCTGGGCAGGTAAAGTCTGTCGACATCACTACGCGAATGTAATGCATAGTGGATTGTCATCAGTTTTCTTGTTTTTCTGTCCAGATCATCCAGCTTTGCTTGTGTCCAGTTCACAATCCCAGCAGTGTATCTAATGATGGGGATGGCCCAGGTGTTGAGAGCCTTGATCGTATTTCCGCCATTTAATTTGCTCTTCAAAACCTTTCTGACTCTTTGGATATATTCTTTGCTGACCACATTTTTGACTTGATCATGCTTGATATTGTCCAATTGTAGTATGCCTAGATATTTATAGGCTTCAGGCAGATTGCACTTTATGGTTTGCCATTTAGCAACTCTATGCCCTCACTTTGTGTAATTTTCCCTTTCTTTAATGCCACAGTGGCACATTTGTCTAGGCCAAACTCCATACTGATGTCAATGCTGAAGATTCTGACTGTGTTGGTCAGTGACTCAATTTCCGTTTCTGATTTTCCATAAAGCTTTAGATCATCCATGTACAGCAAGTGAGAGTTTTTTGTGTGAATTTCTTGCTGTTTGGTAGCCTAGGTTTATTTTCTGTAGAATTACTGACAGTGGGATTAGTGCAATAATGAACAGCAGTGGTGACAGTAAGTCGTCCTGGAAAATTCCTCTCTTGATGTTAACACTTCCATAGCTTTCGTTGCCCACGAACAACTCAGTATTTCATTATTATTTATTTATTTATTTATTTATTTATTTCTTACCCGCCTCTCCTGAGATAGGGATAAACCACTATTAAAACATACAACAAGCTACCCAGAGTAAAATGCAAGTTAAAATCCATGGATACAATGCAGATTAAAATTCTCAACTTAAAACAGACAAGGTAGACCTGCTGGAAGAAATGGAACTTCAGTTAAATTCAGACAGCTGATTTAGCTGTTGAATCTCTTACGGCAGGTCATTCCATAGCCAAAGATACTCCGGATGATGGTTGTCAGTCAGGTTCTGGCTGGCTGGAGTTAATGCCCCCCCAGAGGACCTAAGTGTGCTGGGTAGATCATATGGGAGAAGGTGATCCTGTAGCTAACCTAGATCCAAACCTTTGTAGAGCTTTAAAAGTTATAACCAACACTTTGTACTTTACCCAAAAACTAATTGGCAACCAGTGGAGTAACTGTAGTATAGGTGTAATATGCTCACTCCTGGATGTTCCTGTAACTAGTCTGGCTGCCATGTTTTGAAATAATTGGAGTTTCTGAACTTTGTACAGAGGTAACTGAGCTGACATTTGGAGAGACGGATCCAGGAGCACTCCCAAACTGCAAACACAGTCTTTTAGGGGTAGTGTAATCCCATCCAGAACTGGTTGATACACCTTCATCCCCAGGTTAAGACCCTTAATCGCAAGCATTTCTGTCTTATCTGGATTCAACCAGTTTGGAAGGCAAAGAGAAATATATTTGGGTTTCATTAGCATACTGATAGCACCCTGCCCCATGCCTCCCAGCAGTTTCATGTAAATATTTAAAAGCATTGGGGATAGAATGTCACCCTGTCGAATAACAGCTCATTTTTTGAGGGAGAGCTATCCCCAAGCACCACTACCTGGAACCTGCCTGAGAGGCATGACAGGAACCATTGTAACATAGTGCTTCTAATTCCCAAAACCCCCAAGTGTTCCAAAAGTATACCATGGTTGATAATATTTAAAGCCACTGAGACCTGGAAGCACCAACAGGGACACACACCCCTTGTCAATGTTAAGGCGGAGATCATCCAGTAAGGCAACCATAGAAGTCTCAACTCGGCATCCTGCTCCGAAGCCAGTTTGAAATGGATCAAGGAAGCATGTGTCATCCATGACTGCCGGGAGTTGCAGCACAACTACAATGTAATGTAATGTAATTTCCTAATACATACCATATTTAATGTTGTGGTATTGTAAACTAAAAACAAAAAAGAAGGTGTTATTCAATATCAAAACCCCTTTGTGGCATTTGGTCCAACTTGTCTGTGTGTGTATGTTCTTATTAAACTACATCTTTATCTCTTCATCTTTTAAAGAAGAATTTGTATGTGAGACCAACCATATGGGTCCACCATTTCCATTGTTTGTAACTGAGATGTTGCATAGCACCAAAATGAGTAGCCTTCTCAGCCATGTAAGAGGAATTTGGAGGCTTGCAATGAGGGAGGATTTAGGAGTCACATGGATAAATGCCAAATATGTCTATCCTGTTATTGAAGTTAACAACAAAGAAGCAACCCTTGCTGCATGAGGCAGTGACACTTGGTGTCCCAACCTGAAAGAGCAGTAAGTTTCACCCTTACTCAAGAGGAAGAATTCTCTCTCCTCCCACCAAGGATCACTCACACAGTCAGCTGAGGTGATCTTCATCCTAATTATAACTGACTGACTAACATTTGATGTATATGGAATACTAAAATTTGAATGAGATGGTACAGAAATACTCTCCTCATTTGCGATATCAGTTATGTTAAAGTATTATCAGTTAGATTTTTGAAGGCAGTTTGTGTATATTTTTTTTAAAATCTCAGTTTTTCAAACCGTAGGCTAGTAACACAACTCTGACTATTTCATGATGTTGTTCCTCCCCTTTGTAAGCATTTCTTTTTGTACTGGGCCAAACATGCCATCATAAAGAAAAGTTGGAGGCTGAAGGGTATTGAACAACAGTTTTGATGGCATGTGGACTTTTGGTTAATTTTATTTTGCTTATTATTTATGTTTTGCACAGTTATTTGCTATCTTTCATTAATTTGTGATCTTGCTTTTTATAACTGCATATAAAATCTTGATTACTGTAAAATGTTTCATTAAAACAGACTAAAAATTTCCAGCCCTGTTTTTAGCCATTTATTTCCATAGCAGAAGACAATGGAGAAGACTAAAACTTCAATATGGCACAATAGAAATTAAAGTTCCTCTCTTCTTAGCTTATCTTCACGAAAAGGCTGAAAAGGAGAGGCTTAAAATGTTTTATGTATATATAAATTATCTGTTTGTTTGCTCTTTGTATGAAGGAAGAAAACAAGGTTTCATACACTGATAGCACCAAAAGGAATCACAGTCTAAGCCCTAGACCAGTGGTGATGAACCTATTGCACATCTCTCCTGGCACATGCTCCATTGCCTGTCCCCCACTCAACATCATCCCCTCACTCAACCCACTCTGCTTGCCTGCCCCCCAACACTTGCTCCCCACCCTCCACCTCCACTTGCTCCCCTCCCCACCCCGGTCACTCACCTGCCTGCCTGTCTTCCACCTTTCCCGCCCCCTCTGCTCACTACTCTTTGAGTGCTCAACACACGCACACACAGTCTTCTGGGTTTGGGCACTCGTTCTCTAAAAGGTTCACGATTACCACCCTACACTAAAAAGTTCCTTAACCTTGCATTAATATTTTGACTTGAAAGATACAACTCTGAACAGCAAAACTTATATCTGCTTTTAAAAACATATTTAACATTGTCACCTAGGTTTTGTGAGGTGTGTTTTGTTTCTTTTTAGTTATTAGTTTTGATCTGAAGACGAATAATACAGCAGATTACTTTGGGGGGGGGGGGAGAAAGGCAAGAAATGAATAAATGAAAAAAGGAATTAATGAATAAAGTAAAAATTGTCTCTCAACAGATCTGAAGAGGGAAGCTAGTATTTGTCACATGCTGAAACATCCACATATTGTTGAACTCCTGGAGACCTACAGTTCCGATGGAATGCTATACATGGTTTTTGAATTGTAAGTTTTTAATACATATCTATATAATCACTGTTTTCTTCTTATCAATTGATTTGGGAACTGTGGTCAAATAAATCTAACTGAAAGAGAGTAATACATTGATTTATGCTGCCAAGCAACTTGTTTCATAATATTTGAAATGACACACAATATGATCCCCTGCCTCCAATTTGGGCAAGATTCATTTCAAGGCCACCTGTGGATACCTGAAAACACATATATTAGTGGACCAAATAGTTTGATCATACTTCCTCTCAAAGTATACTGTAGAATCAGACTGTAGGACCTAGAGAGCCCCACAACAACTTCCGGGAGGGCATATATTTTTGGGTACATTTAGTATGTGAAATAATGAGTTCACAGATACATAGTATTAAGAAGTTATTTAAAAGCAAATCACATTGCATGTAGCAAAGTGTTCCAAGGGTAATGGGGCTTGTTTAATACATTGAACCAAAAACGTGATACACGTTTTTGGCAAAGTATTGTAGGAGTTTTCTACATATTTCTGTAGTATACTCAGATTTGTCAACTATCAAAGAGGACAAATAAAACAGAGTGCATCTTCATAAAGTATAGTGGAACCCAACAAGAGGATCACAATGAAGGATATGACTGGTATAGCAATGATGAAGAATAGTCATTATGACTATATATTAATCTGTAGCTGTTGCATTCATGCCCTGCTTGTTGCCTTCTCATAGGCACACATGCACTGTGTATGTGTGTGTCTTCTCCAAAGTGGTCTTTGAACCTCCAGGGTTCTCAGTACTCTCCAAAAGGAGACATGTGGAGAGCTATTTTGCCATATTCCCCACCCCAGCTGGTTTAGACCCAAAATAGTCCATTTTCTTACTAGGAAGTAAGCCAAAAAGTCAGTTCACATCACCTAAAAGGTGATATCCCCTGCTTCCATTTTTAAGGAACACGAAAGTCTACTGCCAATATAAGAGATAAAGTATTTTCAATATAGGGGTTGGGGAGTTAAATGAAATTTTGGCAGGGAAGCAGAAGTCCTCCTGGTTCCTTACAGGTACAAAAACTCATGGCAGTAGCAAAACAGCCAGCATTTACTTCCTATTCCGATTTAATTAAGATAAATATATATTTAAAAGAAATTTAAATAGATCCTTCATATTGGTAAGCTATATTATGAGATGTTGAAGGATTGAAGGTTTTTTCACCTGCTTTTTACAGTTTCTCCTGCTAACTTGAAAAATTGGAGTTTTGGGGCATCTGCAATCAGCTGGTGTTCAGTATATTATTTCACCCATCCTCACTATTATGGGCTGAGCTGCTTCTCAGTTACACATGGGACTCTGAATACCAGGCAATAACTGGTTCCTTTTGCACATTGCTTTCTGTTCTGACTGGGAGGAATGGCTGTGTGAAGCAGTGCAAATCTAGGATGCACAGCCATTTGTGTTCCTATGGAACATATGTGATCTTGATCATACAGTACATGTGTGCACATACACACATCCCATTATCCTCTTTGTTTTCTGGAAGTGATCAAATACACCTCACATCCCCATTAAGGTAAAGGTAAAGGTTGTCCCCTGACATTAAGTCCAGTCATGTCTGACTCTGGGGTGTGGTGCTCATCTCCATTTCTAAGCCGAAAAGCCAGCGTTGTCCATAGACACCTCCAAGGTCATGTGGCCGGCATGACTGCATGGAGCGCCGTTACCTTCCCGCCGGAGCGGTACCTATTGATCTACTCACATTTGCATGTTTTCGAACTGCTAGGTCGACAGAAGCTAGGGCTGACAGCGGAAGCTCACGCCGCTCCCCGGAATCGAACCTGCGACCTTTCGATCAACAAGCTCAGCAGCTCAGTGCTTTAACCCACTGCGCCACCGGGGGCTCCCACATCCCCATTAGCAGATCATTATTGCCAGCGACAAGGCGGGGGGGCACTATCTGAATGAATTTTGCAGAAAATAGGATTCCTTGGTAACAATGGATACACATAACACTCTGATATGGGCATGCCTAGGTTGATTCTCTCATATAAATATTTTACCTTCTAGCCGTTAACATTGTAAAATGTGATCTTGGATTAGCTCATAACAGATTTAACAAATATGCATAAATGGTTCTGATTATAATATTGGATTTCCCTTACAATTTCGTTTAAAAATCTAGATGTAATGGAGTGCCACTGCAAACCTAGCAGTTGTTTAGCTGTGTAATGTCCCAAGTGCATATCATGTTTATCAGAATATGAGTGTTCGTGTTAATGATGATTCAAATGCCATCAATATCTATCTTTTTGTAATCTGCTTAGGAATGCGTAAGGAAGGAGAAAAGAGGTGAACCCTAATTAAGGCGTCTAGGGTTTAGATGTGTTTATACAGTGAATCCTGTTTCTGGGAAGCACTTCATCAATTTTCATGTGGAAAAATTAAATCACACTTCATTTATTTGGTGTCTGTCTCCACCTAGTGGTATCAAGTTGCATTCCTCCAGTAGATTCCACAATGATTAAATGTGCTCATGTATACTTTGGGGCAAAAGGTTGGGAGATATATAGGCAGGCTAATATCAGGAAATAGGCTGTCAGATGGCTTCTACTTAAGCCATATAGAGCTCTATAGGTCATAATCAGTACTTTGAATTGTGCCTAGAAACTTTGGATCTGTTGGACCAGGATAATTGTATGTTCCCTTTAACCAGCCCCACTTAACACTCTAGTTCAGGCACAGTCAGACTTCAGCCCTCCAGGTGTTTTGAACTTCAACTCCCACAATTGCCAACAGCCAACCCGCCATTAGGAATTGTGGGAGTTGAAGTCCAAAACACCTGGAGGGCCAAAGTTTGCCCATGCCTGCTCTAGCTGCTGCTTTTTAAAATTAATTTCATGCAAATACTGTTACAAATTGAATTGAAGCTGCTGTAGTTATACACTGTTTCTCATATTTGTTATAAATTTCCCATAGGTTATATACACACACAACTTTGGTATTAGGGACCATGGGCACAATATCAATAATGTGTTTTGTTCAACACGTTGTCTTCTATGTCTTCACTTGAAGGATTTCTGAATTTTGTCAGCTCAGGTCTAGCTGCTGCTCTTTGTATCAGTTGAAGCTTTCAACACTTCCAAAGGCAGCACTACATAGAACTTGCTATAATCTCATCTGGAGGGCATATGTTCCCAAATGCTGTTTCAATTATGTGTGTGGTTCTTTTATAAATTATCTTGAAAATGTAAATGGGGTGCCACCATTATTTAAAGTTCTTAGGTTTTGTTTTTTGTTTGCTTTTTTAAAATACCATTAATACCTTTTTTAATCTGCAGTATGGATGGCGCAGATCTCTGCTTTGAAATTGTAAAAAGAGCAGATGCTGGTTTTGTATACAGTGAAGCTGTAGCCAGGTATGTGTCATTTTTATTTGCCAGGTGAACTAATTAATACTAGAAACTCATTCTATGTACAATATTGTGATTGCTATTGTTGTTGGGGAGGTTGCAATGGCAACTTGTTAATTGTTCTTCATAATTAACATGACACATGTTGAATAAAAAACTGAACTAAATAATGTAGAGATCTAAAAGATGGTTCGTTTAATTAAGAGCCCAAAACAGAAGGAATTTTTAATATTTGTGGCCAATAGGGGAAAATGTTTTCATGCAAGTAATATTTCAGACAATTTTAGCTATATTACATTGTTGGTAGCATTAGTTATGAATCACACTTAATTTTAAAATTTCAGGTCAATTAAGAATGTGTAAAAGTTATAGACATTTAGCGTAAGTTAAGCACCAGCGAATCCTACTGAATCTAACAAAGATGTCTTTGCTATTGTATCTTATTTCTAACGGTGACTAGTTAGATGCAGAAATTAGGGCAATCACTTTGTCTCCTAGCAGCTGTTATTTAAGTGTACATTACTTCTGAAAGAGTTTAGTAAGCAGTCTTGCTTAATACTGTGTGTCACCTGGAATATTGTGTCCTATTCTGGGCATTATGAATAAATCAAATTGATTAAATGACAAACTAAGATTCATGGAGAAAAGCTATGTGTATCAAAACAGAGTTTTACTGTGTTCAGATAGTTTATTTATTTTCCTGGAGTGGGCAATTGCTGTAGGACCAGAACCACTTTTCAATGTAGCCAAGTATATCAGGGAAGGATATTACTCACTGGAGGGAAGGATATTAGAGGTAAAGATGAAGTACTTTGGCCACATAATGAGGAGACAGCTTGGAGAAGATAATGATGCTGGGGAAAATGGAAAGAAAAGGGAAGAGGGGTCGACCAAGGGCAAGATGGATGGATGTTATCCCTTTAAGTCACTGGCTCAACCTTGAAGGAGCTGGGGGTGGCTGTGGCGGACAGGGAGCTCTGGCCGGGGCTAGTCCGTGAATCATGAAGAGTAGGAAGTGACTGAACAAATAAACAACAAAAACATAAGGATCCCATTTGTTTGAATTTATTTGTGTTGGTATATCTTTTTTGTTTTCGTGTTAATTAAATCGATTTTAGTTATTTCATATTGAAGTAAAAAGCCTTTAAATCGATTTTGTGAGAAAACTTGTTTACAAATTTCATAATTAGTATGAAAACTAGGAGGTGTGCTTACATCTGAGGTAATTTTGAACTATTATGATCGGCTGTATGGTTTGACACTTCTAGATTTTATGTTTTGAATATAAAGTTGGTATGTTGTAAACAGTAGTATTGCCAGGAGTTTTAATCTGCAAAACTCAAGAAACACAGGCATTGCCTACTCTTTAATATTACGGAAACATCTACAGTATTTTTACATTAGTTTACTAAATATTACAAAAGAATGCCATCTGCTGGACTAAAATGATTTAAAGCATGAAGTAATTTGATAGTTTAAAAAACATGAAGTAATTTGACAGTTTGAGAATTTGCAGGTGAGATTTTGTGTAGAATACAAGCTTTACCATTATAAGCACTTAAAGAATCATATTAACTACTCGTCTGATAATTTTCAAGACATTGAAAATCTGACACTATCAATGGTGATTTGTCAATACAATAGAAAAAGATTGCTGCAGATGAAACCTCTCAGTTAAAACTAGGAGTTTTGTCTGACAGTTTAAAAATATAATTACCAACTGTAAGAATATAATTAAAGTGCAGGTGATTGTCAACAGCTTACCAGTATCATGGTATAGTCATATGGAAATCATACATGTTAAGACTCCTGTTGGTAGAGCTCCTACTGGCTCTTAGTAGAGGACTTGGAAAGCAACCCCATGCCATTATTTGCTACTGTGTTAAGAAAAGTAACTTTTGTTATTTGTTCCACTGGTCGTGGGTTTTTTGTTTTTTAAAATTTTCTGATGGCATTTTCATTTTACAAACAATAGGATTGATGAGAAACTTGCATAAAAGTTGAAAAAACCTGCCAGAATATCTCTAAAATTACCTTCGAATCCCCTTTAAAAGCACATGTTTAAAGTAACTATAAGACCTTGGTTAAACCAGTAATGCAGTGTTGTTCCTACTCATTGCATTATTTCCAAATGTAACTTTGCTACACTGTTTTTCCCTCACAGTAACTTGTTATACCTTTGTCTCCTGACTCTATACCTATAATAAAATTGTTCTCCATCTGAAGCAATAAATTGATAGCCTCTAAACCTCATGCTGAAATATATCATTATGAAGAGTGCTCCTAGAGCCACAGTTTTGTATTTTATGCAGGAACGGACTATCCGACTATCTTTTTGATAGTTACAGGCAATGTGTCGCCTTGGAAACTGCACAGGTTGAATTAATAGAAAATTAATAGAAAACCACCTTCCTTCCACACAAAGCTGTACTAGTTGTGGGTAACCTGTTTTTGTTTTTTGGGTTGTTGTTTTTTTTTTTACCCATGGGCATGGGGATAATATGTTCTCACTTCCTATAGCAGCTTCAGATTCATGAGAAAACTTTTTATAACCAGATCAGGAGGAGTTGAGATTTGAACATTGCTATTGTTTTATTAAAGTCTTTATCAGCTGTTCCTCTGAGCATAGCAACTATCTTCCCAGTAAGATCAGGACACCTCCATGCACACATCTTGCAGGGGCAGAACAGTACCCAATGTCTATGCTGTCTTCATAATGTTTATATGAAAGTGTTTAATTATTATATACTTTTGTTTATAATACTTTTGTTGTCTTTTGGGTTTACAGTCATTACATGAGACAGATACTGGAAGCACTACGTTATTGTCATGATAATAATATAATTCACAGGGATGTTAAGGTAAGTCAAATTAACTTTAGAAATTGTTGGGTTGTTGTAGGTTTTTTCGGGCTGTATGGCCATGGTCTAGAGGCATTCTCTCCTGACGTTTCGCCTGCACTTTGGCAAGCATCCTCAGAGGTAGGTACCTCTGAGGATGCTTGCCAAAGTGCAGGCGAAACGTCAGGAGAGAATGCCTCTAGATCATGGCCATACAGCCCGAAAAAACCTACAACAACCCAGTGATTCCAGCCATGAAAGCCTTCGACAATACTTAGAAATTGTTTATTTTGTTGACAGCATAATATGACAATTGTATTTATTGCTTTGGTCTCATGCAGTTAAACCCATTTTGGAAAGTAAGTAACTATTAGAATCACTGGTACTGTTAACAAAATATTAACCTAGTTGTATGTCAGATCTTTTTCACTCTCACTCTCACACAGTTTATTTTGACATACTTTAAAGACTCAAAATATGATACCATTTTCTCTTGAAAGGTGGGCCAGGAGGCTTCAGTAATTGTGCAGGATCTATAGGTTGGGGTTATGCATAAGGAGGAAAATTACATGACTTGCTCATTGCTCTTGTGCAGGAACTAAAATATGGAATTAGAATTATATGACCTTGGTCAAGTTTTAAGTGTGCTCTTGGGACACATGCAGAAGATTTCATCATAGAATCATAGAGTTGGAAGAGACCTCATGGGCCATCCAGTCCAACCCCATGCCAAGAAGCAGGAAAATTGCATTCAAAGCACCCCCGACAGATGGCCATCCAGCCTCTGTTTAAAAGCCTCCAAAGAAGGGGCCTCCACCAAACTCCAGGGCATAGAGTTCCACTGCTGAACTTATATGGTTTTTGGTTTTATGTTTCGTTTTGTTCCTTTTCTGAAGTACCATATGATCTTAACGTTCGAATAAACTCACAAGTTAACCTGTAGCTAGTTCATGAAGTCAGTGATGTATTGGCTATATAGCCACAAACAAAACTACATTCGTCTTTTTCCATGTTCATTAATCTTAAATACTTCCTTTTGCTTATATCAATCAGTACTAACTCAAATCAGATACCAGCTGTAAATAAATTCCACCCCTTGTAGCCAGCCTCATTGTGAGTTTATGGAGTGGTTAAACTGCATCAATAAACACTGATTTTCATTTTGTGGTTTTGAATCTGTGTGCTATAATAAGAAGGAACTCGCATTCGATGTACTCTAGTAATTTTAGTAAACATTAACAGTAAGCTTTTCAGCTGTTGGAATTAGTTTGTGTGGAAATTTCAGATTTTTGCTTAAGTCATTATCATGCTCCATGAAGACCTTCACTGTTTACCCGTAGTTAAGCCCTTTTTAGTTAGAGGGATTAATATTTTATGTACAGTTTCTGTGGGGTCCATCTAGACAGCCTCTTTGCATTTGAAGCGTCCGTCACCCTGCGCCTTTAAGAATCCCTTCAGTGGCGGAGCCTCAGGCAAGGCACTTCTGGTTCTTTGAAGAGCCAGCCTTTTTGTGACTGGAAGGTGAAGAGAGAGGAAGGCTAGAAGGACTACAAAATAGCACATCCAGTCAGAGCTGCATTCAAGTTCAGACAGAGCTATATTCAAGTCCAGATGGAGCTTTGTTAAAGTTCAGTCAGATTTATTTCAAGTCCAGTCAGCATTAAATATTGAGACCATCTTAGATACATTGAACACCATGCAAGAAAGAGACAATAAGAAGAAATAAAGATTCAAGAGCTTCAGTTCGGCCAGAGCTATGTCTGTCTCTCAAAGAGTACCTCTCCTCATAACGTCTTTATAGTGAGACTCGGAAGGAGAGAAAGTCTAAAATTCTTGTTTGATTCAACAACATAGTCTCTGATCTGTTCAGGAGCAGCCAGTTCATCATCCAAGTAGTTAAGATAGTGGGGGGGGGGGGGGCAGACCAGTCAGGCATGGGCAAACTTTGGCCCTCTACATGTTTTGGACTTGAACTCCCACAGTTCTTAACAGCTGTAAGGAGTCACTATGTTGCAATTTATTTTTCATTGTGTTAAGGACATTTTCAGACTAGATTGAAAGTTAAGTGTTAAAGAAGAGGGAGAATTGAAATCCCTTGAGAGGCAACATTAATTGGAATTTGATAAAAAGGAGATGAATCTGTGTATGTGTGGGAGAGAGAGAGAGAGTTGTTCTTTAAGCCCTGGAAGTTGTAACACCAACAGTAGGGAATTCTATATGCTGCTCCATTATATAGCTCATATATTTATTTAAAGAATTTGTGTTCTACATTCTACTATTTCTCTTCCCAGAATTACAGTTGTGGAAAATAATCTTAAAATTATCAGTTAGCAAACCTACACTTTTAAAACTTAAAACTCTAATGATAAGGAAACATAATATATAAACATATTCATAGTAACATCTAAACTTGGGTAGGCAAAGTGCAGCTCCAATACCATTTTTGTGCCCACGGCACTCAAAAAATTGAAGGAAGAAACTTTTTTAAAAAGTCTAGGAGGTGTGAGCTCATTTTGAATAGGGGCTTACTGTATAAGCTTCGCATGACTTGCAGATACTACAGTTAAGCACGTATTAAATTGGTTACCACTGGTCTACTCCACCTCGAGAGACCAGAATAGTGGGGAGCTAGAGCTTATACAGTAAGCTCCTTTAGTACATGAGAAGTACAGTCACAATTATATTTATTTAAAGTAAGTGGTTAATTCTGGGGGCAGGGGTTACCTCCTAATGGCACACTTCTCTTTCTCGCCATTCATTCTCTCATGAAGTCCAAAAAACGTTATTAAATTGTTTGTATTGCATTGTACATCTTAGCACAAACAATTGTGTCTATGCTAAAGTGGTCATGTCACCTTCTATAAGTCACCCCTCTTTTTTGGAGAACTGTCCTTTCTAGAAGTGTTCACCCCATACTCCAGAATTTTTAAATTTCCCTTTACAAAACAAGGGGAGTATGAAATTCCATTTTGTAAGAAAAATGTTTCTTCAGTAAGCCACATTTTTTTCTCAAATTCAATAAGTTCTTTCTAAATCGTGTCAATGCTCTACTTTCAACTGTGATAGTTTAAAAATTAATGCTACTTGTTTGCATAATTTGTATTCCATCTATATTCATACATGGAGCCCAAGGTAATTTGCAACATACATTTTAAAAACTATTATAACTATAAACCTTGCAATTAGTTAAACCTTCTTATTATAGCACCACTATATAAAACCATTTTGAAATAGAATAAAAAAAATCTTAAGAGTTGGAAGAAATGAAAACATAACCATAAGAATAAAAGTGCAGTATTTATTATTAAGTACCTGTTTAAACAAAAAGGTCTTTATTATTCCCCAGAGATCTTAAAATTCAGGAAACCTCATATTCTGAGATGCAGTATTTCAAATAGCGTGAACCTAAGTGTAGCTGATAGCAAGGAGTTTGAATTATGCCCAGAAAATAACCAGTAGCCAATGAAGTTTTTTCAACAAGAAATTTACATGTTCCTTATAACCAGTTCCTATTTATTTATTTTTTATTTATTTACTATGTTTATATCCCACCTTTCTCTATCCCAGAGGGGACTCAAGATGGCTTACATAAGCAATAATTCAGCACTCTGGCTGCATAATTTTGAGCTCACCAAGGCAAACCATTTCTAAAGGCAATCCTATACAGGGTGCATTGAAGTAATATAAATGGAACGTTTCATGTATTACCATAGGCAATATAATAATTTTAAGAGGTTGAAAATACTAAATTTGTGCTTTGCATAGCTGTCATTTCATATAGATGTTTTGCCAGTGTATAGAATAAAAATAAAATAGTTCAACATGTATTAGCTTGACTAGCTTTTAATATAAATGCCTACTATAAAGTTCTACTACACACAAGTTTTACTGAAAACAAATGCAAGTAAACATAATTACATACATGCCACATAGCTAGATACTATTGTTCCTTATTTACTGTATATGGCTACAATTCCCGTTTCAAAAGATCTTCCAAATATATTAAATGAAAGCAATAATCGAGTTAAGACTGTCTGGAGCAGATTCCTCTTGGCTTTCGTAAGATGTACAAACCTATACCTACTTATCTGGGTATAAGACCCATTGAACCTAATGGAATTTACATCAGAGTGGACATTTATGACATTGTACTATTAATTCATTATTTCACATTCTTAATGAAATATATTCTGGAGTGATGAGTTGGATTTTCCAGATGATCATGAGAAGAATATCTTTGTTTCATTTCTGAAGTACTTTCACTGATAGTAGACTCCATACTAAGTTGTTTGCAAATCAGTCGCAGTACAGTTTTACGAATGCTCCTGGACATTAGAAAATACATAACTGGGTCTAAACAGCTGTTGAAGGCTGAAAAGAGTAGCATAACTTCATTGCACTTGTGGATGATTTGCTTCCAGTGGCAAGAGATATCTTGTAGTTGTGAAGTGATGTAAATAAATCGGAATAGATGGTAAGGTACAAAACATAATGTGAAAATAATAAGTACTATAAAAGAGTTCCTTGCAATGGCAATATACTTTCCAGTCCCAGGGAACCTTTTTCTCTTCTTAGACATTTTGAGAAGATGAGTTGCAATTTTAATGTAAGATAGAATCAATAGAAAGAAGACAATCCAAAATATTATGACAAGAATATAATTCAACCCTGCTTCCATTTTTGCATTTTGTTTTCCTCTGTAATTAAAGCACTTGGTAGAATTTTTTTCTTCTTTCCAGGCAGACTGAACAACCATCACTATAAATCCCATAATTGCCAATGTCCATAGTATACAACAAATATATATGCTTTGCTTTGTTGTTAGAACTTTAATGCGCTGCACAGATCTATTAATTTTTAAGTACCGGTCCAAGCTAATCAACCCCAGTAGTACTATGCTGATGTACATGTTCATATAAAATAGGTTTCCTACAATCCTGCAGAAAGTCAGCCCTAATAGCCATGTGTTTTGGTTAATGTGATAGAGTATTCGGAAGGGCAGGCAGAAAATCAGGAGGAGGTCTGCAATGGCAACATTCAGTAGATAAATCTGGATAGAGTTCTTCTTGCAGGGAGTACACAGAAAAACATACAAAGCCATAACATTGGTAACTAGTCCAATCACAAAAATTATTGAATATGAAAACAGCAAAGCCAAAGAGAGTGACTTCTCTGCTGTGACACAGTCTGTAACATTTTGCATTTCTGGGAACATGTTTCTAGTCTGATTGTGGTTGTCCTTGAAGTCTCTTTCCATAAGAGAAAAGTTCAGGAATTTAGATGAATCCATCTTATGCATGCTTGTCTTGTGCACTTAGTATTGAAATCAACACTTAGCAAGTGCTCATTCCGTGTTTATTTTTACATGTTCATATAAATATGGTGTTTCCTGAAATAAAATGATAGCACAGTGAATAGAGTTTGCTCATGTAAAATGCAGAGTAGTTTAACTGATTTCTCTTACAGATCCTAAAACTCTTCCCCCATAAGACTTGTTTAAGTAACATATAAGATAATCAAATCTGATTTTTCCAGGAGAAAAAAATGCCTGTCTTTCTTTGTGGTTGTGGTTTTCTAAAGTTGTGTGTTTATCTTTAATTTTCTAAAGAAGCGTTTATCTTTAATGGGGATGCATTATCTAACTTCTGTAGCGATTAGAACTCATCCCTGAATTTTTATACTTTAGTTATTTTCCCCGCATAAATCTTCCTGATTTGTAAATTCTGTCTGTGGGTTGATTTTTTCCCCTCTATCAGGAAAGATTTATAAATTTAAAAAATCAAATTCAACTTTACAAACATATAAAAGATTAGTTTTAAAATATGAACTAACTGCGGGCAATCAAAACATGAACCTCTGGAAAATATTTTTTTTAACAAACAATATTATTTGTGGGTTGTTATAGGTTTTTCAGGCTATATGGCCATGTTCTAGAAGCATTCTCTCCTGACATTTCGCCTGCATCTGTGGCAGGTATCCTCAGAGGTTGTGAGGATTCCCATTGAACATACTTCTACTTACTCCTAAATAAGTATCCATGGGATCATGCCTGAAGCCTCACTTCTATATATACTGTTATGGGGATGAGGGCATATAAACCCTCATAGAATTGTGCTGTAAATATATTTAGAGAGAGATTGAATCATGTGTTGAGTGGTAGAATTAAAAAGGCTCATGTGTCATCCTTTGTATACATACCGGTGGGGAAATGTTTTAGTTTAAGTTTCTGAATAGCCATTTAACGTCTACACAAAAACTCTGACAGCTTTTGTCATTTTATATGCATAAATTTTGCAGGAGGACTAGAATGAGCACAAATACATTCATGAAAATAGTGTTTCAAGTATATGCTACTGCTCTGACAAATTTGCTTTTGAATATTGTTCATGGGGCACAGGCTAACATTTCTCTCTGTCTAAGACAAAACACATGTGAAAGGCAAATTCATAGTTTGACAAAAGTAGTTGTAGTCTATCAAGAATCATGGCATGAAAATGTAACCTATATCCAATACAGTTCAAGATATTATTGCAATTGAGCTGAAGTTTATTTGTTTATAATAAAAGGAAAATACTCACTTCCATGTTGGTGAAGGAATGTGTGCGAAGCTTTCTTCACTCCTTGAATGAAGGAGAGAAGGGAAGTGTTTTTCTAATTATGTACCTAGTTTTGTGTTGAAGATAGCAAATCCAGCTAAATCAGGAAGTCTAGAGATCTCATGTTTTCCTGTAGAAAGAGGTTTTGTGTGAGTCTGTGCTTTGGTCATTAAATATGTGCACACACTTGTACAGTAGACACATGAAAGTACAGAGAGAGAGAGAGAAGTACTTTGGAAATTAAAGCATATGAATTTCTAAGAGCATTCAAAACAGAGTAAAGAAATATCCTATTAACAATTGTGGCAGGAGCACCAAAAATCAAGCCATTTCTGCAGCATTCAAACACAACTGCTAAACAGTGACTATAGGTGAAAAGGAATCTGTTGGGGGGGGGAGGGTACCTGTTGCACCAAAGTTTCCTAAAATGTCTGCTGATTGCGTTTTGTAATTATGGAGTTAGGGAAATGAGTATAGCTATGGTGGCCCAGGCACTCCACTTAATCTTCTGGCCTCCTCTTCTAGTGCAAGGTAGGCTGGACTGAACTTGCCCTGCCTATATGTGTATTTTATTCTGGCTTGAAGATGAGGATGGAGCGACACCACCCCCCATGGCTGGATTTGAGCACAACCTCCAAAGGCACCGAAAGCTGAACATGATCACAATATATCTCCTTTCTGTCTGTTCTGTCCTGTCTGTCAAAACGGCATTGAAAGTTTGCCACGTATGTGTACTGTGAACTGCCCTGAACCCCCTTGGGGAGATAGGGCGGAATATAAATAAAGTATTATTATTATTATTATTATTATTATTATTATTATTATGTGAAGCCTATTTATTAATGCATTTACACCACCTCAAAATGTCTGACTAGGAGTTTGTAAATGTATAGGACAAACAATTTATGTGGCACAGTTGTTCTATAAGTACACCTGATGTTGTTTGACTTGAGTAATGTCAGTTTATCTTGGGGGCCCATATACACTGCCCTATAATGCAGTGTAGAATGCAGTTTAACTACATCGAACTAGATTATATGAGTCTACATTACCCTATAATGCAGTTCAATTCAGTTAAACTGCATTCTGAAACAGCATTATGTGGCAATGTAGATGGGGCCTGGATTATTTAGAAATATCAAAATAGTTATAGAATGTGTCTGATCTTATTGATTATTATCCTGTTTATGCTACTAAAGAAGTCTGCATCAGGAATCCTCTCTTGAGAAAGTAGAAGTTAGACTACTGTATATTGCTTCAGTATATACCGAAGGATGAAGTCTTCTCTCATATATTCTACTTTTGCTAAACTTGTTCAACCATTGTATTTGAGAAATAATTGAAACAGAACAAGGATCACTTCCTAAAAGGATATTTATGCATAACTAGCCATCCCCTGCCACGCGCTGCTGTGGCGCAGTCTGGAGATCTGGAAAATAAAGTAATGAGAAAGTGTTGGTTTCTAATATAGGTAATTTCTTTATGCTTGTGGGTAAACAGTATTTCTTCTTGTTTCTTTGTCAGTGTTGATGTAGAGATTGTCTGGTTTGCCTACTCTGGAACATGCAACATATAATTGTCCTTCTTTAGGAGTCCTTTTCAAATCTATGATACTATATCTGTGTATGTGTATGTGTGAATCATATCTATCTATATCTATGGCTGGATGGCTCTTTGTCAGAAGGGCTTTGGTTATGTTTTGTTGCCCTGGTGAAGGGAGTTGGACTGGTTGGCCTTAAGGCAGCACTTTTCAAACTGGGGGTCGGGACCCCTGCAGAGGTCATAAAGGGGTTTCAGAGGGATTACCAAAACCATCAGAAAACCCTTTGATTGTAGGTGAACTATAAATCCCAGCAACTACAACTCCCAAATGTCAAGGTCTACTTTTGTTTTTCAGCCACACTGTGTGTTACTTGCCTCAAAAGAAAATTCAGCACCTGTGAAACTTGGCGGTTTTGGTGTTGCTATTCAGTTAGGGGAATCAGGACTTGTTGCTGGAGGTAAGCGATGACTGTGTCATTCCCTATTCAGATTAAATTCATTTTCCTGAATTGGGTGAATCTTTCCTGGATTGATATTTCTCTGATGCTTTATGCGCTCTTACCACTCTTTCTTGGCAAGATTTGTTCATAGGGAGTTTGCCTTTGTCTCTTTCTCTGAGGATAGAAGAATATAAATTGCTCAAGATCATTGAATGATTTCCATTGCTGAGCAGGGTCTGAAGGTATCCAAAGCAATAGTCCCAACACTAAATACACTGGCTCTCTGGGGAGAAGATACATCCTTTCAATGAATTCATCTACAGTTGCTGCTCATTCACTTTTTATGGTTCAGTTATAGCCATTAAGGTTGAGCCCAGCCCTTCTTGTTACTGTTGAATTATTATTTTATTTCAATGTCACCTTTTATTAAAAGACCTCAGAATAGCATACAAATAAATAGAGTTTGATAAAATATAAATTCTACAATACAGTTACAATTCAAACAGTGTTATATCACATTCTGTTAAGATTATATTGATCCAAAATAAAGTATCACATCTAGTAAACTAAATACATATTTTCCTATTCTTCCACCAAGTAAAATCAGTACTAGTAAGGTAAACAGTTTTTAAAAATAAATTAAAAATATTAAATATGTTAACCAATAAAAACAGGCTTAAATGATTCAAACAGTTTTAAAACACTGTGCATACTATATGAAGTGAATTAATCTAAAAGGCCATGGTTTGTGCATCTAAATGAAATCAGTGTTGTTGCCAATCAAGCCTCCAATGAAGAACATTCCACAATTGGAGTTTCATGGCTGAGAAAACTCTCTCCCACATTTTTGTACAGTGTATTGACTTCACTGGTGGAGGACACACGGAGCATCACCTCATGAAACTCAGTCCTCAGGCAGGCACATTTAGCAAGAGGCATTATATCTGCCTAGAGTTATATTACTTGATCAGATTACACCGAATATGTAATAAAGAAAATGTCTCCCAATTGTGTGAATCACAGGGACCATAAGAATAACATTGCTTAGCTGTTACCATGGTTCTTCAAGTAGTCACTTGTGAACCCTGACAGCACTCACTCTTAGAACCGTCGATGTGTCCTTTCCTTAGTTCCTTGGCTGCTGCTTGAACATCCAGGAACCACAGGAACCACACTGGGTCACATGTAGGGGGGGGGGGGGGGGTGACAGACATTAAAACACTTATCTGATAACTCTAGAACAGTGGTTATCAACCTGTGGGTCCCAGGCTGTTTCGGCCTACAACTCCCAGAAATCTCAACTAGTTTACCAGCTGTTAAGATTTCTGGGAGTTGAAGGCCAAAACATCTGGGGACCCACAAGTTGAGAACCACTGCTCTAGAAGGTTCCAGATGATGAACTGCAAAAGTACATATAACCCATTTATGTGACTACTCTGAGAACACACAAAGAACTATGGTTATAATTATGCAATCTATTTTACCCAACTGCAGGCAACTAATGTACTTTCATTTTTGGTATGTCTTAGTCCTCAACAGTTTATTTTAAAATGCAGCAAAGCTTGTTATGCCACAAAGCTGTTTTTGTGTTTTCCTTTAGGACGGGTAGGAACGCCTCATTTTATGGCCCCAGAAGTAGTAAAAAGAGAGCCTTATGGAAAGCCTGTGGATGTATGGGGCTGTGGAGTGATCCTTTTTATTCTACTTAGTGGTTGTTTGCCTTTTTATGGAACAAAGGAAAGATTATTTGAAGGCATAATTAAAGGAAAATACAAGGTAAGTGTTGCTTTTCTCCTGAAGAAAAAAAGCTAATGAACACTTTAGTAATATATATTTTAGTGGGAGATTTGAAGCAAATTTAATTGGAAACTACCTGTTCACATAAAACCAGTGAAGATGCCAGTCTGATATTCCGAGTTGCATTTGCTTTACAGCTTTTAAGTTACAAGTTTATACAGGGTTTAAAATGGTAACATTATTTTAAGTTCAGAAAGCCATAATTGACAAACATTTCTCAACAGATTGGGACATGCGTGGTAGATAGGGAGAGGGCAGGGTTCCCACCAAACTCAGTTCTAGAACATTTCCAATGAGGTCTTTGGTAGACACAAAACTCATTTGTGTGAGGGCACAGATGACGGTTCAAACCATAGTTACAGATAAGCAACTTGTCCTTTGAGTTAAATGGGCCATAATTGACAAACATTTCCAAGATGTAACATTCCTCAGCTCTGAGCTCAGGGAGATGATTAGAGATCATCATGCTTACTAAATAGAGGAAGAGTCCTATGATAAGAATCCTGATTGTGTGTGTGTAGTGTCTCTACACCTTTATCATGACTGGCCTTAATTATCCTTTTGTGAGTCCATTTCCACTTTAGCTCTAGGTGTACACCTCAAACAGGGAAGCCTTCAATAAAGCTTTCTTGCAGCACTCACTCTTGCAGCACCATTGGGACTGGAATCCTTCTAAACTCATATTAATATATTCTGGTTTCATACAAGCTTAAGGCAGTCTCCTAAACATGGTTGTGTCATGTCAAATATTTAGTAAAGACAACTATGCCTAGTTTTTTACTGTATTATTCATTTGTACATTTTGTAATTAATATAATTCAGTGCGCATTAGAGTATTGAAGTAATACATAATATGGTGCGAACCTCTTAGTACAGTTATTTGTATTCAGTCACAACCACAACAAAGCATTTCAGAAACTTTCTGTGGATAAAATTTTCCACTGAAGCACAGTTTTTTCCCTTATTATTGAACACAGTTTTTGCAGAAAATTTGAGTCTGTTAGACACTGCACTTTTTGTAGTGCTGTGGTTTAACAATAAATCTGTTTTTACGTTTACTAGGGGATTTTTCATGGTTAATGCTAAAGGGAAACTCCTGGTATTTTTAAAAGCCAGAGAATAGAGATTAGTGAGTGGTGCTAGTAGAATGGGTTGAAATCCTTTATTTATTACTGGCATTTGTACCCTATCTCTTCTCAACACTCGGGACACTTTTCTATATAGTTTGGTCTGAGATTGTTAATTTTCCTCCTTGATTTACTGTATTTAGGGAGGAAATAACTCAATTTTAGTTACTTTTACTGACTTTGCAGTACTAGTATGTTATACAATCTAGTTCTGTGGTTGGAATCAGCAGACTTGACATTGTGTTCAGGAAGCTGACCCATTGAGTAATGTCACGCTATTTTTAAGGAATGTTTAAATGAATGCTCCAGTCACTGATGTTGCAATCATTTTGTCTTCTATTTAACATTGTATATATGAACGCCATCCAGAGTACAAGCAAATGATTATTTACTAAGTTATTTCAGTTGTTTAGCTACTTTAAAAATTCAGAACTTTTATACACATTTTATAAGAAGCAACAACATCACAATGCACACATCTAAGAAGCAAAGCAAGACAAACTTTTAAATAACTAAGCAGTTGCCTTTTTTTAAAAAAGACTTCTATTTTATACTTTTTAAAAGAAATGGTACACATTTCACATCATGGTTTAAATGGAAAAAAATGAAGTATATGTGGAATATAATGAGTTTCGAAAAAGGAGACACTTTGGTTGTAAAGTACAACCAGAAACCAGTCACAGAAAAGTTTTCAGGTTTCCATATTACCACCATGTTCATTAATTTTCAGTAACTGCTTATAATATTTGGGACTGGGGGATGTGCAACATATATCCATCAGCACAGGGTGTATTATGTTTGGACTCAACACTTTTTTTTGTAAATCATATTTCATGGAAAGCAAAGCCATAGATGGTTGAATCCATGGATGCAAAATCCATGGATACAGAGAGTCAACTCTATTTCTTCAACTGGCCTAGTCCAAGCAAAAGCAGTATTTCTAAAGTATTCTGAAAATATCTAAGTCTTTATTGAACATTAGGTGTGTATATATCTATATCAAAAGTTGCAAAAGCAGGATATAGCAATTCCTGTGTGTTCCTAGCCTTAATTTTCATTTTATTTTTTTATCTAGATGAATCCCAGGCAATGGAGCCATATATCTGAAAGTGCCAAAGATCTGGTACGGCGCATGCTCATGCTTGATCCAGCTGAAAGAATAACTGTTTATGAAGCACTCAACCACCCTTGGCTGAAGGTAACATGATTAAGCCAGCCGTGAACAGTCCACAGATGAACTGGAAACATATGAGATGCTTAGTTGCATTTAACTTGGACCTTTTTTTTCTGATGATGGATTATTCTGCATTAAAAAGAGATTATTCTCTCTCTTTGCTAATATCAATTTAAGATGGTTTGATAATTGAAATTTGGCATCTGTTTATAATTCATATTTTTGTTAAACGTTTTGTGTTAAGTCTTATTTATTTTTATGCATTCAAAATTAAACCATTCAAATGACATAGTACCAGAGCAATGTTTTAAAAATTATTGCATTGCTAGTAGTATTAGTAAACATTTAGGTTGGTTATGCCTGCAGGTATAATTTTATTTGTTATCAATCTAATGGCTACTGGCTTGAAAGAATAAAATTTGACTTGCCTTGGCATAGTCGCAGACAGTTCACACAAACTTACAAAAATATCAAAATCTTAATGGATACATTAAAACAGAGAGAAAGAAGAGCACTCCAGATGTCAGCCAAAGGAGAACAATATTTCCAATATTCACTTTTCCCTGAAAGATACCCCAGAAATCAGGCCATCAGGAGGCACCTAGTAATGTTTCCTTGTAGGTAATCTATAAGTTTTGATGTTTTGTGAGTCATCTACAGAATTACATTTTATTTAGCTTATTCTGTAATCTCCATGACTTTGTCCTTGGCCTTCTGAGAACAATAGAAGCATTTTCTTTCAAAAGGGCCATGCTGCTGCTCTTGAGTCTCATCTTTTTCTAGTGTGTTATTCCTTTACTTTTTCAGTTTTAATTTTTACTGTTTTTTATTATTTTTGCTACATTACTGTGAGGTTTCTTAAGATATTTTCTTACAAGATGATATAAACAAATAGTAATTAAATAATAAAGGTTTTTTGAAACCTTCTGTTTGTCAGATATGAATATATGCACTCACTAATGGTTTGCATGTTATCACATCATGATCTTGATTACATAAACCTGATCAATAACATCCATTATTTTATCCATAGGAACGTGACCGCTATGCATACAAGATTCACCTGCCAGAAACTGTTGAACAGCTGAGGAAATTTAACGCAAGAAGAAAATTGAAGGTAAGCTTGGACAACATCTGGCCAGTATTTATATATACATATAAAATAGTACTCAGAATAGTTTTCAAGTTAGTAATTTATTTTAATGAAAAAAGGTTTTTAAAGTATTTTAATTCAGAAAATAAGCAACAGTGAATGCAGTAGCAAATCATAGAATCATAGAGTTGAAAGATTGGGCCATCCAGTCCAACCCTCTGCCAAGAAGCAGGAAAATTGCATTCAAAGCACTCCAGACAGATGGCCATCCAGCCTCTGTTTAAAAGCCGTCAAAGAAGGCGCCTCCACCACATTCCGGGGCAGAGAGTTCTACTGCTGAAAGCTCTCAGAGTTAGGAAGTTCTTCCTAATGCACTACTCTAGCAATAGATCAGTGTTCCAGACCTTTATTTACTATTTTATTCATTTGAAATATTTATTTAGTGGTTTTGAAAAGTTGCCAAATCAGTTTGCAAAGTTAAAAGTTGACTTACTTGACTTACTAATGTGCTGTATTTCACTGGTGTTTTTTTTAAAAATCTCAATACGGAGAGTTTTTCACATGTTGCTCTTCCAGTATCAAATGAAGGAATTGACTCCTCCATCTTATAAGTGATTATCTTTGCAGGCTCTGGCTGTCTTAGCAAACCCCTCTTTGGGAGCACTCATTCCTATCCAACCCCATAACAGATTCAGTAATGACCCATGCGGCACTGCTAGTGTCTCATGGGCCTTCCCTCATTCAGCTGCTTTGAGTTTCCATATGGAGACAAAAAGCAGGGTATAAATAAACCCAATAATAATAATAATAACAGGAAGCTTGATGGAGTTGACCTCTCTCACTGATGTCAGTGAGGTGATTCTGTCTATCTTGGCCTCAGCCAAGAACCATACCTCCCTAGAAACAGACACACACCAGATGTAATCTGGGATAATATCTCAGCCAAGAGTGTAAGGCTGCCTCTGCCATATTATTATTCAACTAATGAAGGTGGCTAGAAATGTAAAACAAAGCCAGTTCTGGTGTAGTGGTTTGAGCATTGAACTACGACTCTGGATTCCAGGGTTCAAATTCCCTGCTTGACTGTGGAAATCCACTGGGCCACCCTAGGAAAATCATGTACTCTCAGTCTGAAATGAAGCAAAGGTAGCTGAACAAATCTTGCCAAGAAAACCTCATAAGGTGTAAATTACTTGAAGGCTCACAACAACAGGTGAGCTCTCATGGAAGATCTCAGAGTGCCATAGTGCAGAGTCAATGACACATTCCCTTCCCCTATAAGTGCAACTGAAGAGCCATTGTCTTTATTGATACTACTTGTGGAAACAGAAGGGTAAAAATGTCTTTATTTTCACCTGAAGCACAAACATTATTTGTTTGTCGTCCCCACTGGAATGTAATGAGACAAATAACAGTGCTATGTTTTTTGTTTTTTGTTTTTTGTTTCTGTTTTGTTTGTTTTTTTAATTATCATGGAGTGTCACTTCATCAAATAACTTTTTGGCAATACAAATATGTAGCAGTATTCCACAAACTGTAGATCCCGATAAAATGGTGATATTATTTTATGTAATTCAAATATGTTCTGCACCAGGTAATTCTTTAACTCAACCAAAAGAATCAGCTTTCCAACGATTCATTCGTGCCAGAAGGGTTCACATTCTCTTTTCTGGTCTGCAGCAGTCATACTTTTATTTCTTTAGAGGTTACTTCAAAATATCTCTTTGCAGTTGTAAATTGTCCTTTTATGTCTTCACAAATTGTTATGTTCCAGTAAGAATGTAGGACAGAACAAGCTTTTCTGTTTGCTGCCAAATAAAGTTGAATTACTTGAAAGTACCTTTTTGTCCACATGCACTACCGCTTATTTTGATGTCAAATTAAGTTTTTAATGGTCACTGTGAAGTCCCCACTCTTGTTTTGGCACCTGAATAAAGCCGATTACAGGAACAGCCTACATTTGTAGCCTGGGATCTGATGGTTGTTCCTTGCTTTTCTAGAAGAGTTTTGGGAAGAAATTCACTGTGGTGACCCCCCCCCCCCCCCAGCAGCTACATTTTCAGAGCACTTTAGAGAAAATTCTTTGTGATTCCTTCCCAGTATATTATTTCATGTACAATGTTCAAAGGCTTTTCTCATGTTCCCTATTAATGCATAAGTAGTGAGATTGGTGACTTGTGTTTTCTGTCATTTTTAGTCAAAATATACAGAACTTACAAAACACTAGCCAGTGTGCCTGTTTTAGTGTAATACATCTTATTACCTTTTGCATAAAGACAAAATAATGCTGTATCTAGATTTTATTTTTCTCACTAAGATTGCCTTGGGTGTTCAACTCGCACAAAATGACTTTATGTCTTGGCCCCATAACACTGCACAAAACGAGCAGAAAGTAATCCATATACATGAGTAGATCATAGAATCATTGAGTTGGAAGAGACCTCATAGGCCATCCAGTCCAACCCCCTGCCAAGAAGCAGGAAAATTGCATTCAAAGCACCCCCGATAGATGACCATCCAGCCTCTGTTTAAAAGCCTCGGTGTATTGTGTCGAAATTTGGTGTCAATTCATCCAGTGGTTTTTGAGTTATGTTAATCCCACAAACGAACATTATATTTTTATTTATATAGATGGTTTTCTGTGGGTGAGCGGATGGTGACTACTGGATGGCATATGTTCTGTATCAGCAGCTAGAGCTGATGTGGTCCACCCAATGCAATTTTCTGAATCGGCACCCCAGATAACCAAACTGAATCTAAAGTTGACCAAAAACCGATTCGTAATCCTTTTGGTACTAATGTTGGAGAGTGCTCCCTGGTCAAGTGTTCCCTGGTCAAAGCTGTCCCTGGTCAAAAAAAGGTTGGGAAACACTGCTTTAGAATCACAGAATCATAGAGTTGGAAGAGACCTCATGGGCCATCCGGTCCAACTCCCTGCCAAGAAGCAGGAAAGTTGCATTCAAGGCACCCCCGATAGATGACCATCCAGCCTCTGTTTAAAAGCCTCCAAAGAAGGAGCCTCCACCACATACTGGGGCAGAGAGTTCCACTGCTGCAACAGCTCTCTTCTTACTGTTCATGTGGAATCTCCTTTCCTGTAGTTTGAAGCCATTGTTCCACGTCCTAGTCTCCAGGGCAGCAGAAAACAAGCTTGCTCCCTCCTCCCTATGACTTCCCCTCACATATGTATACATAGCCATCATGTCTCCTCATGGCTGACCTTCTACCTGATTCAGGCAGCCTCACTGTAATAGAAAAACATTTTTCATGTGGAAGACCACATATTTCCGATACCTTAGCTATCATGTAAGGTTAGGGATACTTTTTGAGAGAGGAGTCCTGTGAATATTTTATTGAAGATACGTGCACTCCTCCAGGTGTGTTAGCTTACTAACAATCTCCATGTAAATGGTTTATGGCACAGAAGGTGTAGCTTGCAGTGTTCCACTGGTCATCTCTGTTTTCCCCGAATTGCCTCTGTTCAGCAACCTGTTTTACTTGTTAAGAATCATCTGGTTCAACTCAGTTCTTAAATTAGTTATGGATTAAGGATTATTGTGATCAAGATTTTATGAGGGGAAATTAACAATATAGTTTTAACTTGAACTTTTTATTTATTTAGGGTGCAGTACTAGCAGCAGTGTCAAGTCACAAATTTAATTCTTTCTATGGTGACCCCCCTGAAGAACTCCCAGACTTTTCTGAAGACCCTACCTCCTCAGGTATTTTCCTTGAAAGTATTTGAATCTCTCACTTTTTTCAGCATTATTACTGACTTCAGATAAAGACATTTACTTTTGGCTAAATGATTTCAATTCAGTTAAATTCGTTTTCTTGAATTGCTTGACATTTTCTAAAGAGTGTAGTGTAGGTGCTTATTCAAGGTATCCCGAGAAAACAACATGGAGATGAGCTTACTGTTTAATCCTTTTGAAGCACTTGAGCACTTAAGTACTCTTTTTTGCAGAAACAGACATAACTAGATCTTCAAAGTAGACATTGTATGATATAATCACCAGACAATTTACAAACAATATCATGTTTAAGCCACTTGTTGAGGAAAAAATACCATGCTATTTTTAGACCAACTTTGATGACAAAAAAAATAAAAGTAGAAAGACCACTATCCACTAATTTCAGTGATGCAAAAGTATTTAGACCGGTGGTTCTCAACCTGTGGGTCCCCAGGTGTTTTGGCCTACAACTCCCAGAAATCCCTGCCAGTTTACCAGCTATTAGGATTTCTGGGAGTTGAAAGCCAAAAACATCTCGGGACCCCAGGTTGAGAACCACTGATTTAGACACATAAAAGTTCAATGCATACATACAAACACAAATGAGGCCAGTAAAACATAAGATCGTTACATTCACATTGAAAAGAAATAATTTGTTCTTTTTTCAAAAGATGAATAGACCTCGGAGGTTCAAATTCAGGGAGAGCGCAGATGAGCTCTCTCTGTCAGCTTCAGCTCCCCATGCGGGGACACGAGAGAAGCCTCCCACAAGGATGATAAAACAACAAAAAACATCCGGGTGTTTCCCCCGGGCAATGTCCTTGCAGACAGCCAATTCTCTCACAGCAGAAACGACTTGCAGTTGCTCAAGTTGCTCCTGACACAAAAAAGGGTATCGTATTAGTTATTGTGTCTTTACTACAGTTTAGTAGACTCCAAATCCTCGCACAGTAAATGTTCTGGTTTCTTTACTACAAATGAGTAAAAAAAAATTTGTCACACTTCAGTTGTCCCTTCTGAGGCAGGCAGATTGGATTTCTCGAGCCCCTTCCAACTGAAGTCCATATAGCAGTATGGACTTAGATAACCCAATTCAAAGCAGATATTGTGGGATTTTCTGCCTTGATATTCTGGGTTATATGGCTGTGTGGAAGGCCCCGCAGAAGGTTCTGGAAATAAAAGTATACCTGAAATAGTACTGCTGAACTAAATCCCAACCACAATGCTAAGTCTGCTGCTTACTTCTAGCATATTGAAAAATCTAGTGGTTTAGAAAGTTCTCCCAAACTCTCTCAATGTTCCATGAGGTTCAACATGGCTTTTGTTTTGGTCTTTTTATGGTGTTTACATTTCCTAAGAATTAGAACATATATTTATAAGAAAGTCTACCAACTTGTGTTCACAACTGTAAGAACTAGAAAATATATTTACATTGTTGTAAGATTTTTTTAAATTCAAGAGGTCTTTTTATTTCATTTGTGGCTTTAGAAAGGAATAGCTTTTGACTTGTTCCTTTTTCTTGATGGAAAACATGAGCCTACTTGCAGTACTGTGGTGTCACTTTCCTGTTCTAAAAATTCAAATGGTTTCTTTTGTTTTCTGTATATCAGCATGATTTCACTTCCTTATCTGAAGATACCAGCTTGTGGTGAAATGATACATTGTTTTCCTATAGTTATTTCTCTTTACATACATAGCTTTGGATAATTAATTTTCTGCAGAGCCAGAAGGAATTGTTTATTGCCCTCAACTCACAATGTCCCCTATATCACCTGGTAAGAAACCATGTTACACTGCATGGTGTTCATTAGCAGAAAGAGTATTGCATATAATTTGATTTCCCTCCACCTAAAATGTCAGTTCCTTCATTTTTGCTAACCCCAAGAGCACGTTTTCAATAGCTTGACATTTCTGGAAGTTTTATATTTCTGAATATACCAACCCAAAAATAATTGCTTCCTGCAGGCTGGCTCTAATTCCCTAAAGGAAGACAACAGGCAGGAATATCTTACAGTCAAATTCAGTAGGACATCCTTGGCAAAGTATTTCTTTTCGCTTTTTAAAAATAAAATGGAAAGAATATGGAAAAGTCCTCTTACCCCTCAGTTTGCCAGTAGATGGCAGGCAAATTGAACTTTCTTTTACTTAATAAAAACAAAATGTAATTAGAATTTTGACTGAATAAAATAATGCCATATGCTGTTTTTAAAACATTGGGCCATCTAACTATGTGGGTGTGCATGCATACATGTATGCATTTCAAATTAGACATTTTGGTTCAGAGAAAACTTTAACAAATATACAACTGATTGTAGTAAAAATTTTCATCTTTATTTTTTCTTGTGTTTTACTTTGCAAAACAGAACTTTGTTTGTAAACTGATATAAATATATGATTTACTATGAATTGACAAAAGCTATATAGTTTTTCTGAATTTGAAAATTAGTCAATTTTAAAGGTAAAGGTTTTACCTTGACATTAAGTCTAGTTGAATCCGACTCTGGGGGGTGGGGCTCATCTACAGTTCTAAGCCGAAGAGCCGGCAACTAGTAGGTTGGCAGAAGCTAGCAATGGGAGCTCAGCCTGTCCCGTGGAGTCGAATTGCCGACCTTCCGGTCAGCAAGTTCTGCAATTTAGCGGTTTAACTCAGTGCACCACCATGACCCCATTTTAGGACCTATTAAAAGCTTCAACTGTAATAAGTTTACATTTATTCATCTTTAACACTGACATTTTCAAAGATTACATTGTTTCAGGTATTCTGCCAACAAAACACATTACACATAAATATAACAACAAGTTGCAATATCTTAAACTTAGCTTAAAAGATTTAAAAAGAACATTTGTCCTTTTTTGCCCTATCAATTTTTATTTTCATCATTCAGATCTACTGAAATACAAACAGAAATCATGGCAGAAGACATTTCTGTGATTAGAGTACAAAATAACTAATAGTATTTCTTGCAGATGCTCCTTTGCTACTTCTCAGTTTTGTCACTTACTGTATATACTCACATATAAGTCTAGAAATTTTAGTCGAAAAATCAACCCCAAAAACCTGGGTCGATTTCTGCATAGGTCACTGTTAGTAGTGTACCTTAACTCTTATAAAAATGTCTCATATGCACAATTGATTAGCGAAAGGAATATCTTAGTCTATCCCAGGAAAAGCAGCAACATTCTCTACTAGCTTTGATGCGATACCACTTCTAGCAATTTTGCAGGAAAGTAGTGGCAAGAAGCCAGAGGGGTAGGGTTGATTTCTCCGTGAGGCATATCAAATATTTGATTTTGATCTTACTCATTACTATAATCTCTCATAATTTTATCAGGGACTTTATTGAGTATATCAGGGAATTACTTTATTGAGTATATCAGGGAATTATTTTTATTGCCATGAAAAAAAGTCCTGAAAACATAAGAGAACAACCTTTCGGTTTTTCTGGAAGCATCCCATTACAGCTCATCAAAATACAGATGCTTACTTTTCCTGCAAATGTTTATTTTGTAGAGCATATGCTACCACTTTATACATATCCTTTTCCTTTCCTTTTCCCCAAAAAACTTCTGGTTATGTGTAACTTTTCTTCTGTTTCTATCCTCATATTTTTCTCCTTTCATTGTGTTTGTGTGCCAGGTTTTGATTGTACACCTATAAACAAAGTTCAGTGATACTTCTCTTCCTAGCCATATCATGCAAAGTTGAGCACTTGAAAAATACGTTATATCCAATAACAGTGTGTCACATTCTGTCTTTGTTTTAGATACTTTTATACTACAAGAATATATTAAAAGACTCTAATGTTCTAATTTTGAACATATTTGTTTCTCATAATCAGTATGAAGAGGGATCTTGTAGCATTTTAGAGATTGAGTGAATTAAGTTGGTAGCATGGGCTTTGTAGACTGAGTCTACTTTTTCAGATGCAATTCTATTTGCCATGATTTCTTAGCTGAGGAATTTTAAGATTTAGTTATATAAACTATTTCTGCCATAATTTTGCTGATAATGTAATTATAGAAACAAATCCCAATGAAACATTTCTTTCAATTAATAACAACTCAGTATTTTAGAACTATGATTGCATTTTCTGACACAGTATGGTGCTGGCCTCGGCATGCCTACTCAGAAGTAAGGCCCACTATGTTCAGTATTTGGTGTGTTCCAGGTAAGCATACATAGGATTGCAGATTAAATTTGACAAGACCATGATGTTCTACTTTATTTATGCTACCAGTTTTCAGTATTCAATATGTAAAGCCAAGGCATTCACTCATTACTATCCCCAAAATTTATAGGAGAAACACTATGCTTGTGTAATTTTTTTAAAATACCAGAAACTGACATGTATGCGCATAGAGCAAATATATCACATTTATTTTGTGCAGGTGATACATATTAAAATACAGTTATTTAAATAAATACAAGTTTATGTGTCTTTTTGTGGCTAAGCTGGTGTGTCATGTACAGCTTTTTAAAATGCTTATGTTGAGATCTTTATGCTATTTGTTGTTTGTCCTAATGCTGCCTTCCTGCTAGGACTTCTAGCTGCAGAAAGTAGGTATCCCTTTGTTTTCCTCTAAAGCTTTGCATTCTGCTACTATGTTTGGCTTTGTGTGTTTAAATCTGCTTTTTCTCCTTTATGGGTATCCTAGTTTTAATACTGCCTGCATATTTTAAAACAACAGAAAGGTTTAAAAACTGCTTCCAATGTGTACACTATCTGATAGATAAATATATTCAGATTTATTTTTAATAGAAAGCTGATTTAAGGCAGTATTAATTTCATTGCAATGTCCTTTCCTAAGCAAGATACAACTCCTGATTGTAATAGGATTCATAGGAAAAATGGAGGAGCTTACCTTAACCTTATGGAAAACAGGAGTTGTGTACATCCTGACTTTGCCTACATCTAACTAACACTGCTGAAGTTAAAGATCTTGTATGCTTTGAAATGCTTGGAGGGAAAGGAGGAGGATTTTTAATTAGTTTCTTTGGTGCTTAGCTAAAGACAAAAGCAATTGGGTTTTTTTCTTTCTTCCCTCAATGCAAAGGTTTGGGGAAACATATATAGAACCTTCAACAAAATGATCTCACTAAATATTCATTCCCCAATTGGAACTAGAACATCATCTATGACCAACTGGCTGCATTTGATGGAGGCTATAATACAAAAGATTGGCCAGCCACTGGGTTAAAGGAAACTGCTGTAAATATGATAGAAAGCTTTAGCATCTTCCCTTTTCAAATCCAACTGTCGCCAAGATCAACCAGATGCAGACAGAGGATGTATAACACTTCAAGAGCATGTTTTTGTTTCATCATTGAACTCCAGTGGATAATAAGATCCTAACTGAGGGGGGAGGGTAGACATCAGAACACAGCTCCTGAATCACTTGTCATACAATAAATGTTAATAATGTATGGCAAATCAAAACCATGTACTGTTAGACTAATGAATTGTGTGATAAATGTCACAAAAATTCTACAGAATTAAAAAGAAGGAGGAGTGAGGAAAGAGAAATATTGTGTACAACCTTTAGCAGCTTTATTTTACTTTTAGATTTAATGAATCATAATCCTGTTTCTATATATGTTTTGATGGACTGTAAATTTTAATTAATGTTTTATGACTCTTGTGTTATTGAGGTGGATACATAAACATATTTCTGTAGGGCTCTTTTGGTATACAGATGTTTCCCATTAGTCTCACTAAGGGATCTGCAATTCTTTGAGGCCAGATGGGCAGATTGTTCTTTGCTCCATTTGCAGACTAGAGCAAAGGTAGTCAAACATACTGCGGGAAGACACTGCATTTCTAAACTGCAGCACAAAAAAACTGAGTATTTCTCTAAAATTGAGACAAGTTTCAGATATTTGTTTTAAAGTGGAATTGATCTTAAAGAAGTATCATTCTACTGTTAAACTTCAAAGAAAAGCACCACTTGCCAGTGGAGGCCATGAAAATAAGCAGAAGAGCCTTGTGTACTCTCATCGAGCTATGTGGTTATCAGCCCTGATCTAGAGAGCACATTACTGCAATTCAATCCATGAAAGGTCACTCATAAGGACTGTTCTGTGAAAATTTCTGATTCATGTCCCATAATAAGAAAGTGGGAAATACTTAGGGAATAGAAGAAAATGCACCACAGCAAATGGTATAAAAAATGTGAATCTAACTTTAGAGGGGTCGTTGTAAACCCATTTAATAAGTGCCCTCTACTCATACAGCATGCAGGCTTGGGCTTTGTCTTTAACATACCTAGAGTTCATGAATTCATAGATATGGTATATGCTGCAGAATTCCCTCTTTCTGTGTGCCACATGTGTCTCTTTGAGACGAGTAAAAGGTGGGAGCTGCCAGGTGAAACAGAGACACATGGCTCACGGTAAGAGGAGGATCTGGCACCATTGCATTTACCCTACAAGTCCCAGCTCATCTTCCTTTATCTGCAAATTTCCATGACACTTTGCAGATAAAGTCACTTAGATCTGTTCTGTCTTGGATGTTATTATTGATGCAGTTACAATAGATATAACTGTTGCTCATGTTTTTGACGCAGTTACGATGGATGTAACTGTTGCTCCTGTTGCTCCAGTGTTGTTTAAACTTACTCCAGACAGACAAGACAGAGGTGCTCCTGGTCAGTCAGAAGGCAGATCAGGGAATAGGGATTCAGCCTGTGCTATATATGATTACATTCCCCCTGAAGATACAGATCCACACTTTGGGAGTATTACTGGACTCAGTGTTGAACTTGTGCACCAGCTGTGCCTGTTCCTTGAGATGCTGGATCAGGCCACAGTGGTACATGCCTTACTTAGTTACATCCCATTTGAATTATTGTTACGTGCTCTATGTAGAGCTGCCTTTGAAGAGTGCTTGGAAATTTCAACTGGTCCAAAAAGCTGCAGCCAGGTTAATAACTGTGATTGGCTACAAGGAGTGGACAACCCCCGCTGTTGCAGAAACTCCATGGGCTGACATTTTGTTTCTAGGCACAATTCAGGGGTGATTTGAATGCAATATTCCTGCTTCTTGGCAGGGGGTTGGACTGGATGGCCCATGAGGTCTCTTCCAACTCTTTGATTCTATGATTCTATGAATTCAAAGTGCTGGTTATGACCTTTAAAGCCCTATACAACTCTGGTCCAGGCTATTTGGTTGATTGCATCTCCCTGTGCAAACCTGTCAGAGCCCTGCGGTCCTCAGAAAGGGCCCTTTTCTCAGTCCCACCTCCATTGCAAGCCCAGTTGGTGGGAACGAGAGGGAAGGCCTTCTTGGTGACTGCCCCTTGGCTCTAGATCTCTCTGCCCAGGAAAACCAGAATAGCCCCCTCCCTTATCCTTCCAGCGGCAGGCTAAGTCAAAAGATGCTCTGGTTTTAGCTATGAATAGGTTTTTAATTGGTTTAAAGGGTTTTTACTTTATGTTTAATATTGTTTATATTTAATTTAATTTTAATGTTTTTCTATTTTTAGGTTTTAAATTGGATCGCATTGGTTTTACTGTAAACTGCTTTGGGTCTCTTTTGTAGAGAGAAAAAGTGGGGGTATAGATGATGATGATGATGATGATGATGATGATGATGATGATGATGGTGTGTGTGCGTGTATGTGTGGCTTGTGTCTGTTTTTTCCAGTACCTCCCTTCCTTTGCCTGGGCAAATCAGACACACATTATCACCACATGCATGTTTGCAAGGCAGCCCCATTTTTGAGAAGCAGGCATGGCATAGGTGGTGACAACCTTCTTTCCACCCCACCCCACTCACCTCCTGAGGATTGGACTGCTGGGTGAAAGGCAGGTGTTGTGGTACAAGCTTACGAATAGCCAAAACTATAAATTTAAAACCTGGAGCTATGAAGAATGGGCTGCATTTTGTTCTTTCTATTATTATTTCTCATAATTGCACATTAAGAAATCATTTCAAATCATCTAGAGATCTAATTACAGGTTTTGAGCTTTCTTTTCTTCACCTTTATTTAGATCATACTGAAAAAGAAATTGAATCAAATATTTTGAAATCCCTTCAGGAGAAAATTATTTTAAATAATAAAATTAAATATGTATTGAGAATGTTATACATAGTTTGTTCAGTCTTCTGTTCTCTAGTTTTCAGTTTGCCATCCTCAACAAGAGGTATGGTAGTTTTTAATATGTACATGTTATAGATCTAGAATTGAGAAAGTAGTTTGCTCAAGGCTATAGTAAGTTCTATAGTTTAGAACCCAAAATTGCAATACTATGATTCCAGGAGGGTGACAAATAGAAACAAAATTATCTCACCCACCTGGGTTTTAGACATTGACTATTTGCCAACTTTAGAGGGTGACATTGGGTATTGGATCTATACTTCTTGGTTTTTCCCACACAGCACAATTTTAGATGGCTCTCTCAGAACTCTTAGAAGTTTTGTGGGGGTGCAAAAAAGAGGGATAGATGGTTAGAAGTACAGTTAGATCTCCTTATCCATGGATTCTATTTCGATAAATTCAACTATCCACAGTTTAATTTTTTAAGGCAAAAGAAAAAACCTTGATTTTGCCATTTTATATAAGAGACATCATTTTAAAATGCCTTTTTATATAATGCAATCTGAGAGTCCACAGATTTTGAAATCCATGCATATGTGTGAGGAGGTCCTGAAACAAAACCCCAGCAGATACCAAGAGCCCATTGTATGGAGATAAGAGTTGAAGTGAGCCTAGATCGGCTAGATCTGGGAATATGTTCCAAATGCCTATTATCATGGAATGAAATTTATTTCAGAGCACACCTAAATTAATTTTGCCCATTCCTTGCAACCAAAGCGTTATTTCAAAGCAAAGAAACAGTAATAAAAACAACTAAAACCCCACAGATTGGGGGAAGGGGGGTAATCCTACCAGCAAAAGCAGAATAGGATTTTGTAGTTGAACATCCAAGTTGAACCTCCAAGATCATAGCATTCAGTTTTTCTGTCCACCTTTCAGATTGTAACCCTAAAACTAATGTTAAGACTAATGTTCTTTTATCATATTGTATTGATGTCTTCAGAATACGCTTGGATTAGGGTAGAACCAGATTTACACACTTTGTATTGGTATACCATATTGTTGTACAAAAGTGATGTTGTAAAGCTTCTGCAGTGTTTCTGAAAGTGTTTTGTGTTTAAATTATTATGAAGTTCTAAAATATGAAGCATAAAATATGCATGTTATTCAGATAACAATTGCCCTGTGAACATTGTAGCCTTTTGATCTTGTTTCATTCACAGTGTATCAAGTGAAATATTTTATTCTTGTTTGTCTTCTTGACTATAGGAGCAGTTTCACAGGTGCTGGATAGCCTAGAGGAAATCCATGCACTTACAGATTGCAGTGAAAAGGACCTAGATTTTCTACATAGTGTTTTCCAGGATCAGCATCTTCATACGCTACTAGATGTAAGTATATTTTTGTGCAAAAACATAACAGTTTTCAAAATAACTAGAAAGATGACTTCTTCATTGAAGGAGGAAAAACCTTTCAGCAATGTGCTAGCTGTAGTTAAATTACACTCAGCAGGTGTAGCTATCCAAGATAGAAGTTTGCCCATTTGTATTCTATGGAGAAATATTGTCAAGCTATTCAAAGAACCAAGACTATGGTGAGAGAGCTAATGTATTAATCAGATACATTAAAGGATATTGGGACATTAATGGGGAACTGTTCAATTTGTACACATTTTTCTCCAAAAGCAGTAAAAGAAAAACTGCTTAGACCACATGTGATTCCTGAAGTACCATTCCAGATAGTGAGTATAGACATTTCTAGACTATTCTCTAATTTCATCCTGTAGTTGACTATTTTTCAACTTATCAGAAATGCTGGGTTTGTCTCACAAGACTGCATGAACTTAAATCTATAGGCTTAAATCTGTGGGTGTTTTTTTTCTCTCCAGGGATAACGGTGAATGGTAATAAACACTTTATTGGTTAAGAATGACAAGAGCTTGCTAAAGAATAAAGGCTTGAGAAATGTTTGAGTAGACTACAGTATTCTAATAAAATGACTGATACAGTAATCCAGACTTATAAAGAATGCAGAAGATGCATATGTACAGTACTTTATATTTGGGCCTTCTGAAATAGTTCGAGTGCACTCATTAGTGGAATATTTTATTTACCTATACAAATGATAATTGACAGAATATTAAGTAAACGTACATTAATCATTACTTTTAACATGCTAAAATTCCTGCTGTTTTGCATAAAGACAAGTTCAATAGGCAAAATATGTTTATGATTTAACAGAAACATCTTTTCATCTACAAGAAAGAAATCTAGTGTGGGTGGCATCTAAAGATTGTAAGGAGGAGTGGCTCTCTGCTGTTATTATAGCAGAATGTAAGCAACATCATTCAAGTAGAGCCTTGAGAAGGCTCTATTTGTAGTAGGATATAGTATGTGCTGATATTTATTTCTGAAATGTTTTCAACAAATATACCTGTGACTTCAGGGGGGTTACACTCCCCCTGAAGTCACAGGTCCGCAGTTTGGGTGTCCTCTTGGACTCATCACTTACTCTTGAAGCTCAGGCGTCGGCGATGGCCAGGAGGGCTTTTGCACAATTGAGACTCATGCGCCAACTGCGACCGTGCTTCGTGAAGGCGGATCTGGCCAGGGTGGTCCATGCCTTAGTCACCTGCAGATTGGATTACTGTAATGTGCTCTACGTGGGGCAGCCCTTGAAAACGGCCCGGTAATTCCAACTGGTCCAACGGGCGGCGGCCAGGTCATTACCAGGTGCTCCTTACAGGGAGAGGTCAACCCTCCTGTTTAAGGAGCTCCATTGGCCGCCGTTCATTTTCCGGTCCCAATTCAAGGTGCAGGTGCTTACCTACAAAGCTCTAAACGGTTTGGGACCCGTCTACCTGCGTGACCGCATCTCCGTATATGAACCCACACGATCTCTCCGATCATCTGGAGAGGCTCACGATCCCACCTGCGTCGCAAGCGCGATTGGTGGGGACGAGGGACAGGGCCTTCTCCGTGGTGGCCCCCCGACTCTGGAACTCTCTCCGCAAGGATATCAGACAAGCCCCAACACTGGCAGTCTTTAGGAAGAGCTTGAAGACGTGGTTGTTCCAGTGTGCCTTCCCAGAATAGGAAACTCCTAGCATCATGTCCCAATTGCACTTTACTAGAGATTAAGATTGTCTGCACACCACACCTATCTCCAAAAACCTATCCATCTCAACTGTCATGTTCAGCATTTTAAAATTTTAATCATTACATTTGGCCCGGCCTTAATTTTAAATGTGTCATGGTATTATTGTCTAATGTTTATTGCTATTGTTTTAATGTTTATTGCTTGTTTTATGAGTTTATTTATTGTTGTATTTGTTATGCTGTTGTTTTACTGATGTGTTGGGCCTCGGCCTCTTGTAAGCCGCACCGAGTCCTTTGGGAGATGTTAGCGGGGTATAAATAAAGGTTTATTATTATTATTATTACTATTAATATTATTATTAAAGATCTTATAAATATTATTGTTATCTTCAAAGTAACAATAAACTTTAAGAAAAATGTATTTACCTTTTGTATGGATTTTTTTCTCTTTTAGCTTTATGACAAAATTAACACAAAATCTTCGCCACAAATCAGGAATCCACCTAGTGATGCTGTGCAGAGAGCCAAAGAGGTAAGTATTTTAAAGCTTATTTTAAACCTTTCAAATACAGTATTCGATATTCAAACTCATTATATTGTAGAACTTTAGCTGAGTCACTGCTTACATGTTATGCCTGATACTGCAGCATGTTATAAAGTGTTTTGTGTTCAGCATGAAAGGATTCCTACTATGGGTGGATACACTGTGGACCTTATGCAGTTTGACACCACATAAGTTGCCATGGCTCCATGCTATGGAATCCTGGGATTTATAGTTTGATGAGGTACCAGCAGCCTTTGACAGAGAAGGCTAAAGTCCATAGAAAACTACAACTGCCAGGATTACTTAGTATTGAACCATAGCAGTTTCAAGTGGTGTCAAAATGGATTAATTCTACAGGGTAGATAACCCCTGTGTTATTAAGGTTTTCTAAAATAATTTATGTTGGTATTCTAATAAAGCTTATCCTACTGTGTAAAAACTATGGACAGCTGAAGTGTTTAAACAATTATCCTAAATGGCTGAATTTCCTCCAGCAAATCTGGTTCAAAACTGCTATTAAAAATATAAATATATCATTTTCAGTTCCTATGTTGGAGAAGGCAGGATTTGTATCAAACCTAAAATCCCAATTTAAAAGACACACTAACATGATATTTCAGATTTGGATTTTTATGAGATTGTTATGAGAAATTGCTTTAGCAAACTAGGAATGTTTTGTCAAAACAAGGTAAATGAGGTGTGTAGAGTGAGGAGGAATAATAATAGTAGTAGTAGTAATAGTAACAACAACAACAATTTTCAACTCTAATAAAAAAGTAGAAGTACAAAAGAATGACAGAGGAGGGTAAAAAATGTTGAGAGGCTGCAAGATTTGTATGGTGCAGAAAGCGTAACGATGTTGATACTGAGAAAGTCTCCCCGAGGAAAGAATTTCATGAATAGCATGCCATGTCTACCCTTTGAAGCATCTAAGATACTTGAGGCAAGCATGAAAACTTGACCTCAGCACTGAAACCACACTTCTCATCCCAATGTACTTTGAGAAAATGTTTGAAATATAAAAGTAGCAAATAAATAAAATACTGTTTATAACATGTGAAATTAATTGAAATGTACAGGGTGTGACAGAGAAAACACATGGTTTTGAAATACCCATAATTTGTTTAATTTGCAAAATACATCATACATACATACACAGAAAAGAAGGTACATCCATGTAGTTAAACACAGGAACACTTAACAGTTATGCACAGAAGATAATATCTGGAAGATGTCATCCATCATTTCAGACACACATTTATAGCCGCTGAGCAAAGTTATCCATTGCACTAACTAACAGTTGCACTGGCACAGCTGCGATTTCTTGACAAGTAGCATCTTTTAAGTCCTCTACTGTGTGTGGTTTTCCTGCGTACATACATACTTACTTTCACCCCCATAAGAAGAAACCACAAACCAATAACTCGGGCAAGCATGGGGACCATGCAATATTGCCAATCAGGAGGCAACATGAATTTCACCACAGCCATTGATGATCTCGCCGTGTGCGCAATTGCACCATCCTTTTGAAACCATATTCCCACATGAAGTCCATGTCTTATCATATCAGAATGGATGAAGTCATTTAACATTGCAGCATAGCAATGTTAAATGTTATGGTGACGTCATTCTCTACAAAAAAAACGGACCAATATTCTGACCTGTGGTTCACCACACTATACCGTAACCTTGGGGCTATGGAGAGGCCATTGGTACAGCTCTTGTGGGTTATTCACTACCCAGTACTTAGAGTTCTGTTTATTCACTGAACCATTCAAGTAAAAATGTGCTTCGTCACTCATCATTGCTACGGCATTGTCAACTTCAGCCAAAATGGTGAGCATTTCCTGACAGAATGCTTTATGCTGTGTGAAATCTCCAGCATTCAACTGCTGCACAGTCATTATCTTGTAAGCATGGAAGTGCAATTCTGTGTATGTGCCTTACAGACCAACTTCTGTGCACCACAGAGAACATCGCAAACTAGCAAGAACTGTCCACTTCACTGCTTCCATGTTTACAGGCATCCGTACACTTCAGGAAAGGCCCGAGTGGCTTCTCTTCATCACGTTTCCTGTGGTCGCACTAGAGAGTTGTGATCGGGCATCACTCCATGTCGCGCAACATTGAAGTTTAAATGTTTAAAAGCAATGCTTTTCGGTTTGGAAAGTTTAGCTGTTTACAAGAAACGTTGCCCGGGGGACACCCAACTGTATTTACTCAGTTTTTGAGGAGGCTCTTTCTGCGTCCCCCAACATTGACATGTTGTCTAAAGAGACGTTATACTGTTGCCACAGATTGACTGTTTCTAAAAAAACTGCTCCATGCAAACACATGGTGTTCTGCAGTCCATAACAACATGGCTACTGAAACATCAATATCTACATTGGTGGAGGTGGATGATCGTCGCCTCTCCCCTTCCAATGTACTACCCATTTGAAAAACATGTATTTCCTCTGCACCACCCTGTACATAACTTGAAGTAGGAGATTTAATTTAGAACTCACTGTTACACCTGTCCAGGGGTTGACATATTGTTTTTAAACAATTTGCATCTGTCAGGTTTTGCTATTTTAAAACTAACAATCATTTTATAAGATTTGTGACTGATCAAGAAAGAAAGGGTTTATTCCAGCAAGTTGTTAATTGGAATATGCTGTTTTGATTTACAGGTATTGGAAGAAATTTCATGTTACCCAGAAAACAGTGATGCAAAAGAACTTAAACGTATTTTAACACAACCTCATTTCATGGTAAGCATTTCTTGCAATGATAATTTTTTAAATCTTCGTCTTCTGCATTAGGACAAAAAATAGTGCACGAAACATCAAAAATAGGAGTAACAGTCTTGCAAACTGCACAGAAATCTACATAGTCATCAGAAACAATAAACTTGTAAACTGACTAAATGACAAAGAATGTCACTAAGTGACTCTTTTATATTCTTGTCATCTCAGACCTATAATATTCAAGATACAATTATTTTGTCAGCTCAAGGCTGAATTGCTATATACACTTAACTAGGAGTAAATTCCATGGAACTGCTGTAAACTAAGCTGATGGATTTTTAAAAGGAAATGTTATGAAAGCATCTAATAGTACAGGAATACCTGTCTTCAGTAATATCAGGTTAACATTTGCAATCGTGAATTTCCTAAATATTGTTATTTAAATTTATTTCTAACTTGCCTTTACACTGAAAATGAAATAATTATATGGTGGTTAGTAATAATTGTGGTTAGTAAAATCAAATAGGGTCTGTGTTCCAGAAGGATCTGGTAAGACAGAGAGATAATTGTTTGAATTCTAAGGTAACATGTAGAGGAAGTATTTATTGTTCATTTAAAAGATTTGTCTATCACCCTTCAACTGCTTACAACGAAAATATATAAAATGCAACAAAAACATGCTGAAAAAAGAAGATATAGATAATGTAGAAACACAGACAATGATATTACCAAATGAGGTTGAGAAGTGCTGAAGCTAACTTAGGCAGCTTTTGTATGCTATCCTTTAATCCTTATTTTTAGGGAGTCAGTGGTAAAAAGCATTTCCTCAGCATTTCTAAATGGTATAATGTTGCGCCTGTTTCTCATAACGTGGGTTCTGCAATCATTTTGAGTTTGTGTGCCAACAACCATTATTAAGCACATACAGAAATACTAACAGTGACTTTGATTTTAAAATCTGAGAAGATGATACAAAATTGTAAAATAGAATTCTTATTTCTATAGGACTTGATAATTTTGTGTTGAATAATAGGCACAAGGGATTATGGAATGTGTTGATTGTATCTTCCTCCAGGCCTTACTTCAAACTCATGATGTAGTGGCACATGAAGTTTACAGTGATGAAGCGTTAAGAGTTACACCACCCCCCACGTCTCCATATTTAAATGGAGATTCTCCAGAGAGCGCCAATGGTGACATGGACATGGAGAATGTAACAAGAGTACGGTTGGTTCAGTTCCAGAAAAACACAGATGAACCAATGGTAAGTAGATAGCTGCTATTAGTTCCATTTGTAAAGATGTATGAGATACATCTAGTTATTATTAAATGTGAGCTCAAAACTCATAAACAACACAGGCCACCTAGTTTGAGACTGTTTTTAATTATATTTTGAAAGGCAAAATTCTTATTTTCTTTCTTTTTTCTTTTTAATCTGTATATGTCTAAAACTTAATAAACATTATTTTTAAAAATCTTAAATATTGTACAGATTTTCTTAGTTACAACATAGCATTTTCCTAACATTAGAAGCAGACATTCAACCTTAACTTTTCATGAATAGTACAACTGCTTACCTCATTTTACCATAAATTCACAGCTGGCTACTGTTGTTAAATGTAATGCAGGGTGGGAAACCTCTACCATTCTATATGTTTTGACCTATGGCTCCACAATCATTTACCATTGGCCGCTGAATAGGAACTGTAGGCCAAATCTACAGGGGGAATGAAAAAAATGCCCTTGGTGTAACTTGTCACTTATTCAAATTGGCTTTTTTTTCTAGTCAGATCAGAATAGGAAAAAAAGGACAGTGGTAAATTCCATTGAATAATGTTGAAACTGTCATGTCCCTTGTTGATTTCCTAAACAATCATATTTCTGATGTATTCATAATAATTTTTGCGAGAGCAATAGGTGGTGAAAGTACCTGAATGGTTATGTGAACTGTAATTAGGAAGCAGCAACTGTAACATCAGATGTGCTGGGTCATACACATGGGGATATTGCAGGGGTATATTCTTAATAGAAATATTTTCAGCCATCTGAACCTGACTAAAGTATCTAAACAACTTTGTTACTGTTTTTTTAATTATTTGATTTTTTTTAAAAACTAGGGAATTACTTTAAAAATGAATGAGCTGAACCACTGCATTGTAGCAAGAATTATGCATGGAGGAATGATCCACAGGCAAGGTAATGTTGACAAAGTATTATTTGATAGTATCCAAGTGCTCCGTTTTCATTAAGCTTTTATTCACACAGGTACAGCTTTGTATCCACATGGGCACAACATGTTGAGAATTGTTTAGTGGCTATTGTCCAATGCCTTTCTGATCTATGGAGTCCTGTTTTCACACCTTGCTCTTCTGTAGGCAACATTGTGATAGTCTGGATTCTCCGTGTTACTTGATCATATATGAAATGTACTGGCTTCCAGACTTAATGTGTGCAAAATTCTAGCAAGCATGTATGCGTGTGTTTAAGGATTTGTACACCATCTACAGTATAACCAAAAGCTCTCCTGTTACAAATAGCTAATTTGGCAACCTCCACTTCCAGCCTTACAATACAATTAGCATACCACATACACAGAAAAATGGAATGGCTTGGAAGAGTGGAATTGTCTAACAGTTACTGGCATGGATACTGTTCTCCTGCCTTTGATGGCAGAGCAGTGGAATTTGAAGCCTGGAGGGTGGCACAGCCCCTGGTACCCAAGCATGATGGAGATATGCCCACCTTCTCTTCCTCTATTCCCAAGGACGACCTCTTACCAGCTTCTGGGTCCTGACATAGTATAGACTTGCTTGTCAGATGTTTTTTTTTTCTGACAACTAAGTTGCTAGGGAATTAGAGAGTGGATTTGCCAGGGAAGATGGACTACAAGGATCTATTTGTAATTCTTCTTCCATGATTGGTGCCTAACTCTTCTGTATCTGGAAATGTTTTCTGAATCTGAATACAGCCAGATAAAGACATGGGCCAACTCAGCTTTATGCCAGTGTCTGTCTTCAAATTATTGAAGCATGCCGGGGGTTCTTTCATATACACTTTCCCCCTTCTGTTTCTACATTAATTACTCATGCATTCAGAAAACCTATATATAAGATAGAAATGTGTGTTATTTTTTAATTCAGAACAGACTACTCACAGGCCCCCTGGTGGTGCAGTGGATTAAACTGCTGAGCTGCTGAACTTGCTGACTAAAAGGTCGGTGGTTCACATCCAGGGAGCTGAATGAGCTCCCACTGTTAGGCCCAGCTTCTACCAACCTATCAGTTCGAAAACATTCAAATGTGAGTAGATCAATAGGTACAGCTCTGACGGGAAGGTAATGCCATTCCATGCAGTCATGCTGGCCACATGACATTGGAGGTGTCTATGGACAATGCCGGCTCTTCAGCTTAGAAATGGTGGGCACCATCCCCCAGAGTCAGACATGACTAGACTTAATGTCAAGGGAAAACCTTTACCTTTACTACTCACACACAAACACAGTGATATTCCAGGTCCATGTAATAAAACTATGTGATTTATAAAACTATGGGGTCTACTTCTAGGTTCATTTTTGAATTATATGCAACTTTGTGTCATGGTATAATGATTAAAATAGCAGAGAACCATAGCAGTCTAGAGTCATGCTGTGAACTATTATAGCTACTATCTCATTCTGCCAAAAAGCACACCTTCATGTTTCATATTGATGAAATTTAAACACAAGTAGACCCCAAAAATAACATTTTATACTGACATAGTGTAACAAAAGTAATATACATAAGGATGTTGAGGACCATGCAAATATTTAAATTGTGAACATGAAGAAATTTGTCCACTAGCTGCCAATTAGTTTCTGGCGAAATACAAGGTGTTGGTTTTGACCTGTATAGCCCTATATGGTTTGGATCCAGGTTATCTACAGGATCACCTTCTCCTGTACAATCTGCCCTGCACACTTAGGTCCTCTGGGGGGCAGTTACTCCAAATAGCCAAAACCCGACTGCAGCCACCACCCAAAGGACATTTTCATCAGCTGTAGAATGACCTACCGGTAGAGCTCAGATGTCAGAATTTAAAATACAGGCAGCATAACTTCATTTTTTAAAATGTGTGCCATGAAGATGTAGCAGAGCACTAGTGGTCTCGTTCCAGAGGTGAGAGTATAAAGTTTTGTCCTGACACAGTTCAATCGCCATCATGCATTGGAACAGTGAGGAGCGTGCTTTTGCCGTTGAGGCCTACTTTTCGAGCAGATTTGGAGTGGCTGGCCCACTCTCCAGATTTGGCTCCTTGTGATTTTTTTCTATGGGGTTTTTTGAAATCCCGTGTTTATGTGAACCGTCCAAGGACCCTACAAGATTTGAAGACCAACATCCAGGAAGAAATTGCCAACATAACGCCTGCTATGCTGGCAAGAGTCATGACAAACGCCAGAAATCAGTTTACTCAGTGTATGGAGAATGGGGCACATCACCTACCTAATTTGATCTTCAAAACTATGTAAAACAAAACTTTAGGTATGCACCTACATTATAAAAATAATAAAAATTTCTGATTCATACAATGGGTTTTATTAAGTTTTGAAAAAAGGGCTGCCTCACCCTGTATAAGTTATCTCTTCTGGCAGGCCTACCCAGACAGTTTTAATGGTGAATTTTAAACTCCACTGTATGCCTGGTTTTTATTTTGTGTGTTTTGAAATGTATTTTGTGGAGATATATTTTAATATGTGTATTTTATGGAGTGTTTTAAAATTACTAGTTTTAGTAATGCTGTAACCCTCCTCGAGCCATGAGGAGAGGCGAGCAAGAAATACAACAATTATTATTAATAATAATAGTGACAACCATGTTGCTGTTATTGCACCCGTTTTTACAGCATTTTTGCATTTCCCATTCCTTCTTCTTTGAGATTTGACATTTCTTTAAAAAAGAATCTTGTTCTGTGGCTTCCATAGGTACACTTCATGTGGGGGATGAAATTCGAGAAATAAATGGAATTAGCGTAGCAAATCAAACAGTGGAACAACTGCAAAAAATGCTTGTAAGTATTCAAAACATAAATGTTAATATAGGAATGAAAATGCATTGTGCCTACTTTGTTTGCTGAGATAGTTACAATCAAACAATGTGAGCTTCCAATATCGTTACAAGAATATTGGGAACCTATTTTTTTCAGTTATTTTTATTTTGCTTTAGTAATCAGAGTATATTATTATTTTAATATTCTCTGTCATTTCTTCTTGGCTTGAATAAATTGAGAAAGGCAGCATCATAATGCGTCTTCTAACCCTTCCTACTAAGTTTAAGGATAGTGATGACAAACTTTAAGAACTTTTGTCTTGTCTGTTAGGATGTTACAAATATTTCCTGCTCCTGAAAAGTAACATGCTTAATAACCTGATTTTCTTCCTTTCATGTCTGCATTTGTCCAAAATAACAATCCAGAATTCTAGAAAATGCTTATTGCTCCTATTTAGCTCATCCCACCAGCAGAAGAACTTCAGTAACCAGTACTTCACTGGCAAGAAAAACCTTAGTTTTTACATTTAAATCTAAGTACTCTGTTTTGTGTTCAAACAACCAACTTCAAATGTTGACTTCCCCCAAATCAGGAGTCCCAATTGCTAAGTGTTTCCTTTCTGCTGGGTTCCTTCTGCAGGAGGACTTAGACAGGGCAATAAGGCAATATTCACAGACATGCTTTCTTTTGAATTCTGGGTTTCTGATTTCTCTAGAATTATGATGAATATGTGCACATGGCCACCTCAATTTATGAGGTAGGGCTTGAAATGTATTTAGCAACACTGGTACTTTCTTCTATGAAATAGTTTCTAAAAATAGAGTTCCGTGGTTTACTAGGAAAATTAAATCAGGGAACTGTAGCAACCTGACTTGTTGGGTCTTTGCTGATCACTGCTGCTTGTCATATAAACAGCTAAAAAATGAACTGCTCCGTTATTTCTTTATCATGATGTCGAAGCAGAAGCAAAGAAACCAAGAACAGATTAGAGGGGAGAAGTCACCTTGGTTCAGATGATATAAACCATAGAATGAAAGTTCATGGTTGTTTTAGCAGTTCCCAATGCAACAAAGTGAGTGAGGAGAAAATTGCAGCATGCTTCTTCTACCTGATGACCCAGGATTCTCACAGTCTCCTGTCTTGTTGCCCAGCCATAACCATTAGAAGCAAATATTGTCCAGCCTTGATCAGATACATGTTAAGTTTACTGTTGTATTGGTTTGACTAACACTTCAATTTAGGGTGGAAGTAATAGCTTCACATAAACCACTCAAAAACAATCTAAATAATGATACTAAGTATAGGAAGTTGTTTTCAGAGGTTTCTCTTAAGCAGATTTCATTTTTGTAAGATTTCATTCGCTTTTATTTTTCTCCGATATGCTCACAGTTATGGTTCATAAAATAATCCCATTTTTTAATTTTTTTCTCACTCTAGTTTTTAAAAGAGTAATGGATTATATCAGGTGGATTATGTGTATTAAGATGCATGTAATAAAATATAGTTATATAAAATATTGAGTAGTCCTTAGATTTTTATTTAATAATAGTTTTATAAAATCTCTATATCATGTTACAAACTGCTTCCTTATAAGCCAGATTTACTTTCCTATTTTCAATATATCATATATATTAATTTATTTAAATTATGTTTTCTTTCTTTGTCATCTAAATGTATAAATGTCTCTGAAGTGAACCAGTAAATTACAAAAATAGAAGGGTTGGAACTTCAAAGACATCTTGCTGGTACAAAATATGATATGTAGACTTTTTTGACCTAAGTTCTTATTCTGATTTTTGAATGACTTCCTTACTATTACTCCTTTAACTAACAAATGTTTTTCTTCCTGCAGAGGGAAATGCGGGGTAGTATTACCTTCAAGATTGTGCCAAGTTATCGCACTCAGTCTTCTTCATGTGAGGTAATGAATTTGTTTCTATAATGCTTTCTCCTTTATTTTCTGTAACTAACTGCCTGCTGATGGCTGAATGTTATTGCTTTCTGGGAAATTGTTTCTGCCTGTGCTATTAGATCACGCACACCAATTTTACAACAAAGATAACGGAACAGAGGAATAGCTCTACCCACCTACTGTGTCGCCCTTCTTTCATATTCATTACATCAACTCATTAAATACCCTTTAATAACCTATACTGTAAACAGTCTTGTACAATGTGTAAAGAAAAACAGAAGAGAGCCTAAGTACAAAATGGTGAAAGCTGGAAAAGCTTTTTAAAATCTTAACAGATAATTTCTCAAAAGAGCTAATTCTGGAATAGTAAAATGAACCATACAAGTAGCAAAAAGTGATACTGAAACAAGACAAGCATTTTAGTATCAGGATCTTTTTTAAAAATATGGCAAGTAAAGAGAAGATTTTAAGTAGGAAGTGTTACCACTTGGGAACAAGCTCTACATTTCTCTTTAATTGTGTTTCGAACCTCCTCTTTTTACAATTATCTATTTTCTTTAAAATAACCTAACATACCATAGAAGGGAATTAATATCTGATTGTCAGACAGGAGAATTTGAAACTGAAGAAAGAAGAAGGAACGAAATTGACTGGAAACGAATGTTGTCTTCTGCATTGACAATTGACACATGGAATTTAACCCATTAGTGGTAGATTACTGTTACCCGAAGGATTAATTATTAAATGGTTCTACCACCACCATCCAATGAAAAGTGAAGGGGGAATCAATACATTTCAAAATAAATAATAAATAGTAAAAGTATAAAAATTGTTAACTTTGGCAAATGACCAGATTAATGAAGAGAAAATGAAATAGCTAAACGGCAAAAAATTAAAGCTGAATATGTCACTAAGATATGTGATGGTGCACAATTTATGGTATACTGTCATCAATAGTCTAAAGCAGAGTTTCTCAAACTGCTCGTCCAGATGTTTTGGACTTCAGCTCCCATAATTCCTGATAGCTGGTAAAATGGCTGGGATTTCTGGGAGCTGAAGTCCAAAACACCTGGAGAAACACAGTTTAAGAAACACTGGTCTAAAGTATCAGGAATACTTGGAAAATGCATATGCAGGCAGTCCCCAAGTTACAAACAAGATCAGTTCTGTAGGTTTGTTCTTCCGTTGAATTTGCTTGTAAGTTGGAACAGGTACATTTTAAGTATAATTCCTGCCACACAGACATATATATATCTATAACAGTGGTTCCCAACCTTTTTTTGACCAGGGACCACTTGACCAGGGACCACTTTGACAAGGGGCCATTCTCCAACATTGGTACCAAAAGCATTACGAATCAGTTTTTGGTCAGCTTTAGATTTGGTTTGGTTTCTTGGAGTGCTTATTCAGAAAATTGCATTGGATAGACCACATCTCTACTTTCTGATACAGAACACGTACCATCCAGTAGTCTCCATTTGCTCGTCCACAGAAAACTATATTTAATAATCTAGAGTAGATGTGGTCTATCCAAGGGGGTGGGGCTGGTCAGCAACAGGGAAGGAGTGGCAGACTGTGAAAAGAGCAGAAATAAAATAAAGAGGAAGGAGGCTCGCGGACCAGATTTTTATCCTGGCAGATCACTGGTGGTCTGCAGCCCACAGGTTAAGAACCACTGATCTACAACAACACATAGAGAAGGTTTAATACCCCTGTGGTGTTTGTTTTGCTGTCTGTGTCCCTGTTCAGAAGATTTCACCTCACTTTCCGTCCCTGTGATAATTGGATTTTGAAAAAATTACCTTGTTGTGTAAACAAGAATTGGTGATAAAGCTTCAGTTGAGACACCTCTTCCTCATGATAACTCTTTCGTGAATGAATTTCACTTCCTAAGGGTAGATTTCTCTCACTTCCTGTTGTCTCAGCCCTGTTCTTAAGTCTGATGTTTGTAACTCGGGTACTGCCTGTACTGTAAAATGTAATGAAGAATTTATTACCTGCTTTTCACTACTCGCAGAAATGTTCAAGAGAGATGCTCAGAATACCCTCCAAAATATCAAAATATGAAAGTAATAATCAATTATTGTGGTTATTTGCTTGTTCAAATGCTGGAGGGGAAATTGGATAAATTAATTCTCTTAACATATATAACAAGTTTTTGTCTGTAGTGCTTACTCATAAGTAGAGACAGAAAATGTTATAATAGCAATAAAACATTGAGTTGTGGTTTTATCAAGAGTAAATAAGACCTATACTGCTGTAATAGTTTTCTGTGGAGTAGGAAACTAAGAGAATATGATTGCTCATGGAAAGATGAATAGATAGCCTGGAGATTCAGTTTAACCTATGGATTTCTTTCTGGTGAAAGTTTTCACTTGAGAATCAAGTATAAGGGAGATGAAAATAACCAGAGGAAAAGCAGAGAACAGGAAGGAATTTTATTTGTGAGGACTATCGAGAGTATTGCTGGCTATCGACAGATTCGTAACTACTCCTTGGCAGCTGCCAGTTCCAAAATATATGATAATTTACAAATAGCTTCTGTAGTTATAGTATGTTTTAAATTTTCATAAAAGATTGAAGAGTGTATTAATTAATTGCATAGTGAATTGAATTGAGGTATTGATCTCATTTTCTAGAGGAGATTATCAGTGAGAAATTTAATGGGAATCTTTTAAAATTTTGGGGAATACAGATAATAATGATCCATATTGTACACAATAGACTAAATCCAGTTGTCGGTCACAGTTAAAACAGTTCCCATTAAATCGGTGGGAACTCAATATGTTGCAATGATACAGCTGTTTTTTCTAGCTGAGGCTTGCAGTTGGATTTAAGCTAGTGGTTGTATCACCTACTGCCTTTTTTTAAAACAGAAGGTAGGAGTTTGCAATAGTTTGATTTGAAATTTTGATGTAATTTTAATAAGACTGAAGTATTTGAGAAACAATCGGGCATAGAGGTAAAGGATCAAAAATTGAGCTAGGTATCAATTTAATGAAAACATAGGATGTGTGAAGATACAAAGGATACTGTAAATAAGACTATAATTCAATTGTTTTGACTCCCAAAGTATGGAAAATGTTGCAATGGGTTTTAAAGTGAAGGATAAATATAAGTTAAATATTAGGGATATTCTAATGTTGCAGAAGTCAACCAGAGAAATTATTAGGACAGTAATAGAAAACACAATTATGAACCATAATATTTCAGGAAATAATTGAATAACTTTTCCAAGCGTTATTAGGTTTTTCCTTACATTTTGCTAGTTTTTTGCTTTCTACAGTTCTGAAATGTGTTAGTTTTAAACAAAGTAATACTTCCTTATAATGTGGCACTGTAACTTCTTCAACTAAAAAAAAATTCTATTCCATTCTTGTCTTCTATGTAAAATGTTATAATTGCTTGTTTTGGATTCTTTAAGGTTAAAAGAAAATCCTTATCTCTATAAAACATGTCTTGATAGATTTTTATGATTAAATTCATTTTAAGAAAGGATGTTTTTCCTACTTAGCAAACAAACTGGGAGAAATACTATGTAAGTGATGCCATATTTTAAAATATTGCATGCTCAAATTTGTCCGTTCTTCCTCCTGTGTGGGTTTTGGTAACATATTATGAACTGCTGTTGTACAAATTCGTGAACTATCAACCTTTTATTTTTAAAGTGGCCATTCTTTTGTTTTGAGATATAATCGGTTTGTTTTAATACTTGCAAAAAGCACATTAAAATCATTATGCAATATTCCTCCAAATGTGTCAGTGGCAGAATAACCAATTCTCACAAGAGGCTGGCTTTCTGGCATGCACTAAACATACTGTTTATTGTGCATTGAGAAAACTAGCTAGATGGACACTGTTATGAAAGAGTAGTTGTGTAATAAATTTATATTTATTTGTTTACATACATACACTGACATAGTTAGAAATCATGGAGATAGAAAGGTCATTTTGCTGTCAACTGAAATATTATGAACTAGATTAACTAGCAGACTGACTTCCATTATTAGCTCAAACTATAATAAATCCAAATTTACATAAATTCCTCTAGAAGAGATTTTATCAGTTGGATCAGCCATGATCTCTATTTAACAAACATAGGACCAGTGAATGTGTTACTTAGAAAAGGTGTTCTGTTTTCCCAGGAATAAAGTATTGTTAGTCCTTCTGAAATATAGCATGCTCTCTCAAAAACAAGTATCTTTACGTAAAGATTATATGTAAAATGAAAAATATGCATTTAGTTGAAACCCCTAATAATCCAGATTATATGTTCTCAGCCTCCAGTGTCCTACTGTCCTTGACATTTGACCATGCTGGCTGGGGGTTTTGAGCATTGAGCACAGGTAGCTAACTGAGGCAGGTGCTGGGGGCCCTTCCCCCAGGTTAGACTGCACCAGCTTATGACTGAAAATAAAGCCAGAAATGACATCCATTTTGAACTTCCAATTTGAGTAAGTCTTTTTTTGGTAGGGGGGACATTTGGGAGGTTGAGGGTGTAGAAAAGAAGAATGCTGTTCCAGGAGAATTAAGTTGCCTTCTTTTTTTGGAGGGGGCTGAAAATTATATTTTTTATTTATTTTATTGGAGAGTGTGGCTTCTTGGGTGGGGGTCTTGGGGGTGAAAACAACCTATAAGACAAAAATATCTGGAGGACCAAAGAGTGCTCTAGAAAACAGTTATTTTTAAATGAAAAATTTACTGAGGTATCCATCCAGTTCAGGAAACCTGTCCCTTATCTTCATTTGTAATCCATTCTAAGCAGAGTTAATCACAAATTGAAGTGGTGTTAAATGTGCTTCTTTGACTAGAAATCCGCTTTTTGATAGAAATGAATATATGCTAGGGTTTAAAGGAAGTACTAGGATCAGCAGTGACAGATGTTGCCTTTCAAGACATTGACATTATTACAGAATGTATATTATTCAGTTCAAGACACAGCTTCAGTTCAGGACGTTGTCAAATAAATTCAAGCTCTGGAACCAATCCTCAACATAAGATAAATTTTGAAAACTATTGTGATTACAGCATAATTCCCTTTAACTGAATGCGTTGTGCAAGTTAAACATGTTGAATAATTAGGCTTTGGGAGAAAATTGTGCTTCTGGAGTCCTCAGGACTTAGATTTTGGTAATCAGGCTTTGGAATACTATGTAGTTCTCATATTAATCTTTTTGTTTCTCGGATGTCTTCTTTCACTAAGACTGCCTGTTCCTAGAAAATTAAATCAAAAAGTAAATGAAACTTTACATTTCTTTAAATTAACACAATACAACCTTAGCTTTTTTAAAAGTCAAAATGCATGAGAAAAACTACATTAGCTATATTCATCTTCATTCAGCATTCAGCACGACTTGGATTCCTTGTTAAAATCTCAGTTTTCATCTAAAGCAGTTGGCCCTCCATACCTATGGGTTTTGCATCTACACATTCAGCCCACCACAGATCTATCTACACCCTCTGCTTTTCTTCAACCTTGAAGGTTAAAGAAGCTGCATTGCAGAGGGAGAGCCATGAAACCAGTGGCATGGTTGACAGGGGGTTGTTCCCAGCTCACTGATGCATGAACTGGCTCACATCTGGTTTGTCAGATATTTTGTTTATATTTTATACAAGTGACACAAACACCCGCTGGTTTTGGTATTCACGGGGAGCACTGGAATCAACCCCAATTTATATAGAGGGTCAACTGTATCAATAATGAGCTCAAATTCTATATATCTTACATTCTATTTATTAACATACTTCTTGAAGAACAGCATCCAGTTTCTTTCACTTTTTAATGACCCCCGAATATTACTTACCTGCTTAGGCGATCCCTCGTTGTCTGAGTATGATGGTCTTCCAAGTGTAGCGACTTGGTGGTGGATACATACGTCACTATGGAGCCCTAGTTTTGACCTGCATGTTCTTCCACAGTGAAGGCATCAGTTTCCAGGTGGAAGGTGGTCCCAGTCAGAGTTGACTTGACGCGCCTTCCTTTTGGCACATTTCTCCCTTTTGCCCTCCATTTGTGCCTCTTCAAATTCCACAGCACTGCTGGTCACAGCTGACCTCCAGTTAGAGCGCTCAAGGGCCAAGACTTCCCATTTCTCAGTGTCGATACCACGGTTTTTAAGGTTAGCTTTAAGCCTATCTTTAAATCTATTTTCCTGCCCACCAACATTTTGTTTTCCATTCTTGAGTTTAGAGTATAATAACTGCTTTGGGAGACGGTGATTAGGCATTCGGACAACATGGCCAGTCCAGCGGAGTTGATGGCATAGGAGCGTCACTTCAGTGCTGGTGGTCTTTGTTTATTCTGGAACACTGACATTTGTCCGCCTGTCTTCCCAAGAGATTTGCAGGATTTTTCGGAGGCAAATCAAAACCCTAAATCAAAGCAACTCAGAAATATTAGGGATTCCTGATACACTGTGGCTCTACAGCACAAGAAATCTATCACTTGTGTAAAACTTTTCATGACTAATGCATTGTTGCCTACTGGTTATTGTAAGGTAAATAGGAGTGATTATAGCCATTCCATATGCTCTGAAAAGAGAACATTGGTTTCTCAAAAACAATAGTATAAATTCCGACCTTGAACTCATAAGGTGGGGGAAGGAGTAAAAGGGTGGTCTAGATAATCTAAAGGTGATAAGAGTCACAAAAATACTCCCAGGGGCTACATACATTGCCTGGGCTGTACTTTACCCATTCCTGGTTTAGATGAAATTGCTGAGAACAGGTAAATTCAAATACATTGAAAATTGAGAGAACATGGAATCCTTAGTAAAGTGATGAGGATAGTTACTAGATTTTTGAGTGAACCATTAATCAGGTTAATCAGAAGTATGAAATAAAAGTGGACTTCATTGACAGCATAAATCGTAAATATAACTTCCGTAGTCACAAAAACAAACACAAAAATGCATTCAAACTATATTCCTCACACCCAAATCTGAGGGTGTATCACTTACTCAAATGTAGGACTCCATTGCTCTTTGCTTAATAGCAGACAATTCTTGTAAAGGAGATTTGTGGATTTGTGTTTGTAGAGATATTTGAAGTCACGTATTCAAACATAATGCATGGTGAGGATTTGCTAAATACTTGTGAAGAGTTGCTTTATTTGTAAATGGTAAATGCCCCAAAATTTATGCTACCAACAAGTGATACCCAAATGTTAGTGTGTTTATGTAATATTTATTATCCAAGTAAAATATTTTTGATACAAATAAAATCAATAACATTTAAAATCATCATGCATAGAGGTATGTAAGAGATGCACTACTGCACAGGAAGTATGGTATGTCAGAGACTTTAATTAGAACACTGAACTGAGAAATAGAATAAGTATAGGAGTTAATAATACTCTGTGACCTTCTGTCAACAAAGGACATATTAAATGAATGAAATGCAGAATAGAGCAACCTACACTGAACATAGCACGAATTGTAGCATCAGCCTTTTTAGTTTGCTGTCCCTGTTGTATCCTTTCTGAGTGCTACAATCTGCTCTAGAGAGTTCCCTTGCCCTCTAGAGCACATCATTAAAATGTTCAGGGCACATGGGTGCTGCAAAAAGGAGGGGGCTTCTTACCTGTGCTTCTGGAAATCACTTCTCTGAGTTCATTGACATTGTGTCATGGATACTAGCCAGCATGTCAAGAATAATGAGACATGTCAGTACAGACAGCCATCCACATTTATGAGTTTTGCTTTTGAAGTTTTGGTTATTCACAGATTTGATTAAAATGTTCTCTTTAAGAATCTAAGCTCCTCCAATGCGATTCTCTGGTCAGCTTCTGTTGCTTGGATATCCTAGACAGACCTAAGTGAGGCAACACCTGCATGGGTAGTGCAGTCCCTTGAGGAAAATAGTTCATTTTCAGATAAGTTAGAAACATTATCTTGTTGTTCTATGCCTTTGAGATATTTCTGACTTATTGCATCCCAAAGGTGAACCTATTATGGGATTTTCCTGGCAAGATATAATAATGACGATGATGATGATGATGATGATGATGGTGATGATGATGATGATGATGATCTCCCAAAGGGACTCGAAATGGCTTACACATGTCCACAGATCATCAAAGCAAAAATAATCAATTAAAACAAAAAATACAATTAAAATAAAGCATAGAAAACATAACAATCAGATAAATCACAAAAATAAAACATAGGAGTATAAAAGGGCAATTTGTTACCAAATGTTGCCTTTGCCTTCCTCTGAGGATGAAAGAGGGTTTCCATGTCTGAATAGGGATTTGAAACCTAGTCTCCAAAATTTTAATCCAGTACTCAAACCACTTCACTATGCTTGGCATCCTATAAAATGGGCTAAGGGGCTTTCTATAGCCAAAGAATACTTCAGTTGAAAACCACAACTATGAAGACTCAGTTACATGTTCTGTTTTTTCTCAATTTTTAACACAGTCTTTCAGTAGGATCAATCTTGTTTCATATACATTGATGAGCTCCTACAAAGAAAAATGATGTCCCACATTGTATAAGTGTATTAATTTTCTGTGCAGACCTAAAATTCAGACATATAAACTGACCTAAAGTATATCTGGAAATCTATGCCATGCAGTATTCTGTAATTTGTTTTTAATAAATACATACAGAAGGTGCAACCTCATATTGTCATTGTAATATATAAATGTGACTTTGAATGTTGTAATACTGAAATATCAGGATCCTGTGTTTTTATCTTGTTGTGTTTTCCTGTAATGTAAGTAATTTAACTATTCAGAATTTATAGAATGAAGTCGAGCTTTCCTTTATGATAGACACTATGCCTCAGGATAATTTAATGTATTTAGGAGAATTTTTAAAATCATAGTATTTGCTTTTTTTAATTGAGAAACTATGTTTGCCAATTCTGAAAAGGCATCCTAAATTCACATATTATTTTAAAGGAATGGCTCAACAAATGAGAATTATCTCCATAGTATAAATACAACAATAACACCAGGGTTTTTTCAAAACAGATATTGCCAAAAATTGTGTTTCCCTTTCTATTTATTATATCAGTGTTTTGTTTTTTTAGTGGTGTTGCTGGGAAAACATCCATATACTGAGAAAAGAGATCCTGTTATTTATAAATCAGAAATCCCACATACTTTTCAAGCTGTGAAACACTAGTCACTAGTTTAATAATAATCTGCTGTTGTTGAAATATGAAACCTCTTCCAAGTTGAAGTGGTGAACTAATTGGTGGTAAGCCTGAAGATATAGCACAGATATAACGTTTAAATATATCTGTCTTCTGTCATAGTGTTGTGTGATAATGAACCTTGTATCTTATTTCAGAGAGATTCCCCCTCTACATCCAGACAGTCCCCAGCTAATGGCCATAGCAGCATTAACAATTCTGTTTTGGTAAGACCTCCAGTTCCATACAGAGAGTATTAAATCTTGTGCTCATCTACCAGTCCTGTTATGATGACATGTTCAGTGAAAAATGATGTTCTCCTGATAAAATCAAGGATACTTAGAAGTCTAATTCCCCATTTTCTTTCATTCAAGGGTTTATTCAGCAACATAATCTTCTCATTAAAACCCTTTTAATGAGTTGCAGTCAACTGTAATGTAAAAATTCACTCATCCCTTAAATAGACTTATCATTATCCTCATCCTGATTTGCTCAAAACTAGGAGAAAGACTAATTTCCATTTTAACCTTTGGAATGATGTTTTCAAGCAAAATATTTGCATAGCAGGTTTTCAGGGTTTTTGAGACCTGGACATTTTTTATTTTTAAAACTCTCTAGATTGCAGTATTGGTTTCCGCTATCTGAGTTAAGGAATTGGTGTGTCCTCTGCTGTTGTGGTATGTGCACATATTTTGTGAAATATGAGCCTTGCCTGGTTATGAAAAGCAAAAGAAACTGGCTTTGAACTGCATTTATAAGCCAAGCTATTAACATCACATCTTTAACACAAAATACTTCATTTTTAGCCATATTTTCAGGCAGAAAGGTACTTGTAAATATAACCAAAGACACTACTATTGTTTATCATTTCTCTCTCTCTCTCTCTCTCTCTCTCTCTTTCTCTTTCTCTCTTTCTCTCTTTCAACATATATAGTAAAATGTTAAAAAGCACCTGTAAAGAAATCTCCCTTCAGGAAATATTTGTGTATCTGGTGTCAGCCTGCAAATGGTAGTCATTTCTATAAAGTTTCTAGTACCTTAAACATCATCTCCTCTGTACACTTTTGAGATATTGTAATAAGCTTGAAGGAGTACATTGGTATAGAACCATTCATTAAATCAACTTATAAAATAGTTACAAAACAATATGACAGTAGCCTTCAAGTAGCCTTCAATTTGAATGTTAAAATGAAAAAGTGGCCCTTTGCTTACAGGTGCTTTTGTGTTGAAGATGGTGAATTTTTTATTAAAACACATTTTTGTCTGCTTAAACTTTATCAGCTTTCTTCAGCTTGCTTCTAAACTGCCTGGGTTTGACATTTTTCCTATTAAATTATCATTTCCAAAAGTACATTTATTGCTAATACTTGCAAATTAGCTTTTTGCTCTAATGCTATTGTCTACTTTCAAATTAAAATGAATTTCTTTCCCTGGGTTGGCTTTATTCTGCAGGACTTGCCATCAACAACACAACCAAAAGGACGACAGGTGAATAGTTATTCTCCATGGAAGCTTTTCTAACATAGTTGCTTAGTAGGATTTTCTCCTTACTGGTGTTCATTTTGTTGTGACCTTAATTCCTGCTTGCCTTCCATGGCTGATTCAACATAGTATCATTTCTTTGTGATTGTGATGTAGTTGTTTTGTCACTAATAGTAGCTGTATTCCATGTCACGTAGCATGTTAACATCAGTATTCTTGTCACATTTCATATTACCCTAGATAAAATCTTTATGAATTACTTAAGGGCTTCTTTTACCACACTGATCTATGTTTTGCCTTATGCAGAAATTACATTGCATATAGTCTCACCACTCTCATTGCCTAGTTGCTCATTTTTTCTGGGCAGAAGAGCATAACACTTGAAACAAAGTCTTAAATTAAGTAAGCCTTTGCATCATGATTTTTGTCTGAAAATCCACATGACACATATATTTAATGTTATTTTCTTTGAAAACAAACCAGCAAGTATCCGCACACTTCAACCCTCCAGGTGTTTTGCACCTCAACTCCCAGAAATCCCAGCCAGCTTACTGGCTGTTAGGAATTATGGGAGTTGAAGTCCAAAGCACCTGGAGAGGCAAAGTTTGTCCATGCTTGCTCTAGTGGTTGTAACTTTGAGAGGGGAACTTGTTCTGCTTTTCCTCTATGGACATGTTTCTACTCAACATTATTCCTTCAAGTTGCAAACATTGGAAAAATGCACAGTTATATATATTCCTCTGAATGAGTAAAGAATCTGTTTTGCGATGAGGGGGACTCATCCTGCTATCTGTCTTCCATTTGAAGACTTTGGCTGTTGCTTTTGGACTGTATGTATGTGTATACAACTATGCAAAATACACGTGTAACTGTTTAATAGTGCAGTTTCTGCCTAGGTATCCACTTAGAAATTGCTGCAGTGGGACACAGTGATCATTTTTAATATAATAACTGGTACCTTAAGTTCTGCATGTAGTGATCTCTATACACAAAAAGATTCTCAGCCCATCCTCTTCACCTGCAGGTTGCCATATTCCCTGGAGTTTTCCCAAAAGGCAAGACTACAACATTTCAAGACAATTGAGGGTCATCTTTGATCTGTATTATGCAATGTCCCTTATGCCCACATTCTTGCACATGGTTTAGATATTTCAAAGGTTTAAGTTCATATCCGAAAGATTATGATAAAAACAGATAAGGGGTTAACATCCTATATGTTTGGGTTGGCCCTTCCACTAAAGAAAAGACTTGGGTTGGGACCTGAAGACCATTGCATGCCATGTCTTCTGACATAAGCAAAATATGCACTTGTTCAAGCTTCCTATTGCTTGACAATTCCCTGCTATTGTTACAGGCCTCTTAGAAATAGTCTATAATCTTCAGCAATTACCTTCAAATGTCTCGGAGGCATGCGGAGGATTGCAACATGGAGAAGGAAAAGGAGAGAATTCATTTGCACTCCACTAGATATCTATTTCTTTGATCATACTTTTATTTCACATTCCTTTTAAACTCTGAAATTTGTGTAAGGGGAATTTAGATATTGTGGCATAATATAATCCTAAAGAAGCTGTAGGAAAAGTAGAAATCCATAGGAACTACGAACAATTACTTATGATTGTAAAGGCTGAGCATGGGGAAGGCATAATTCAAATACACATGTAGCCTACTCAAGTGAAGCATTTATCCTATAGCATTTTCCCTTAACTACAAAATAGATGATGACAACCGGGGGGAAATTAACTAGAATGCCTGTTTAGGTTCCTATAAAAGAAATATTCCCTGTATCCAGAACTTTAAAATAAGAAACGTGAATTTAGGAGCTTATCCATTGCCATGTACAAGCAATTTTGGTTTTAAAAAACGTATGCAATGTATTCCAAGTATTTAAGGTATTCTATATATGCTAGCTGTAGCAGGTATTCTAAGTTAACATACATGGAGTCCATAGATAAATATTTGGAGCATAAGAAGTGATTTCTAAATTAATTTGTAACACATCAAAACTGCATTATGTACATTCATAAACTTCTGTATTACACAGTTTCATTAGATAAGATACGTAATTGCCACGTCGTCTTCGTGGTCTCTGTGATTCATCTTTAATTTTACTGGTTACAGTCAATGAAATCATTTAACTAAATACTTATATGTTCAAAGTAATTAAAGCAATAAATGGATTATCTACACCTGCACCATGCATTGTGTGTGTTCACAGATAACCACTTAAAGAACTACAGTCACACACAACCTGTCCTTCTGTTTCATAATCTTGTAATATAGACAAACAAGTTGTCCCCATACCAAAGCAAAACAGGGAGTGAATCCACAATAAATAGCATATTATAGAACATTGTAACATTTGCATTAAAAAGCATAATCAAAACCATTATTCTGTGCAACTGCTTCCCCTTCCTTTTTACTTCCAATGCCTAGTGCATTCTTAAGTGTGGTGTAAACAGTATGTAGCATTTATGCTGCAGATCTGTCCTTCAACTCTCGGTTCATACCATATTGACCTTTCAGTATATGTCACAAAATCTTATTTTATAGATATATGTAAGAGCACAATTTGAATATGACCCAGCAAAGGACGACCTCATTCCCTGCAAAGAAGCTGGCATCAGATTTAGAGTTGGTGATATTATCCAGATTATTAGCAAAGATGATCATAATTGGTGGCAGGGTAAACTGGAGAATTCAAAAAATGGAACTGCAGGCCTCATTCCTTCTCCTGAGCTTCAGGAATGGTATGTTGTTTGGCATTGAGTAAACAATGTATGTGTCTCTAACTGTAAGGAAAGATAAAATTCATGGTATACCTAGAGTTTTTAACATTTGCTTCTGTCCAGTTTCACAAAAGGAGAGATTCATTTAGGGAACTAGATTGCTTATCTATAACCTGAAAGTGGCCTAGTTATGGTTTCTAGAGACTATTGTCAGGACCACGCAAAAGCATAAATGCTTTGTATAACGTATAACCTATAAAATAATCCCAGGGGTTCTCCCAGAACCCATGACTTTATACTTAGAACAGTAATAGGAATCATCATTATTTGCCTGTTTCAAAATCTCCATCGAAATATCAATGTGGTTTGTATTGATTATTTACAAAAAGGAGCAATATTTTGGAATTAATATGAAATCCAATCCTTGACCGATGCTATGTTTGAATAACAAGCTGTAACAGATTGAGCCAGTTTCATTGCTTTGCATCTGTCCAGAATTTTGTGATACACATACTGTAGAATCATTGTTTTTCTTTATGATCAAATTACAAAGTTCATATATTTTAGATCCAGTTCACAATTTACTCTTACAGTCATTCGACTTCAAAAGTGCTTGCTATTAGAACAAAAAAAAAGGCATTTGTAGGTTGTTGTAGGTTTTTCAGGCTATATGGCCATGTTCTAGAAACATTCTCTCTTGACGTTTCGCCTGCATCTATGGCAAGCATCTTCAGAGGTTGTGAGGTCCTCTGAGGATGCTTGCCATAGATGCAGGCAAAACGTCAGGAGAGAATGTTTCTAGAACATGGCCATATAGCCCGAAAAACCTACAACAACCTACAACCTACAGTGACTCCAGCCATGAAATCCTTCGGCAATACAAAGGCATTTGTATTTTTAAAAGTCATCTAAAATTCCCATTTGAAACTCTGAAAGAGAAAATTAATCTGTCTTCTACAAATGAATGACACAAAATGTTTAGGTGAAAGTAATAAATATTATTTTCTTTTCATTAGAGAGGTAATATTAAATAACAATTTGATTGTTGTTTCTTCTTCTCTTGCAAGGCGAGTAGCTTGTATTGCTATGGAGAAGACTAAACAGGAGCAGCAGGCAAGCTGCACTTGGTTTGGAAAGAAAAAGAAGCAATACAAAGACAAATACTTAGCAAAGCACAATGCAGGTGAGAAAAATGAAATACACTATCATACATATTTGACAGTGGTGCACTGTTCATGATTATGCAGATAAATAAATCTTTAATTTTACTAGTGACAGTCAGTGGAATCATTTAACTGAAAAGCTCTATGTTCAAAGTAATTAAAGCAATAAAAGAAAATTATGCACTTGAATGGATCCGACAAACGTAAGTTGAATATAAGAAAAAGTGTTTGTGTATCTGGAAGAAAATCTGCATCTTTCTAGAGATGTTAAGAAACCCAAGATTTTGTACAATGATATTTAAGAGTTTTACACATTATTTCCATAACTATGAAATGTGTTGCAGTTGAATAAGTCATTCTGTCTCTCAAGAGGCTATGATCCCACCCTTGATGGAATCATTGCGGACTGAAAATAGGCTTCTTAAAATCTACTATTTGTTATTTGAATGTTGTGGTTTTTTTAAGACCCCTGCATTACAAGTATTGCCTCACTTGAAGCTTCCTACTTGTGATTGTGATACTCTAATACTATAGTAGATAAGTTAAGTTCTGTTAGGTACTCAGTAGGCATATTCATGGGGAAATATTTGCTCTATGTGCAGGGTGCCCATAGTTTAACTGCAGAATCTCCAGTTCTGGAACCAGAAAAAAAATTAAATACACTATGCCTTTTTATACTTTTTTTATGGCTGCAGAATGAATTTTTTCTGAGCGGAACTTGAGGGATTTCACTTCTTAAAAGAATCGGAATCATAATTATTAAAGGGAATATGAGAAATTGTGCAGATTCTGTTCTTTCTGTGGAAAGGGAAAGGCAAGAGCAATTTGAGGAAATTTGATTTGCTTTATATGAAAAATTCATCCTCTTTCTAGATTTGCAAGCCTTTCTTCAAAATTGGACGTAATAGAGTTTTTCTATCAAGCCTACAGAAATTGTGTGATTCTCTTTTAAGAGTATTACCATTCTTCCAGGGTTCAGTTCTGAGTACATTCTAGAATTTAAGGTATCACTGTAGCAATATAAATTGAAGCATTTGTATTGCTACTGTGATCTCTCTTCCCTTTTGATTATATGCTACCATTAAAAAGACTTTTCCTTTTTGTTCTGACTCACAATTCAACATATTACTATTCCAACAGTAGTACAACTGACAAAACATTGATTCCAAAATAATTAGATTTTTTAAAAAAAATATGCATAAACTGTTTCAGAAAACTGTTGATTTAAAATATCTGCTCTGTTATCTCTGTTTTCTCTTGGTCTTCAGCTCTTAGTCTAACTTTCAACTTCCTTTTATAGCCAAGTAATATAGAATCTATCATGACCTTGTGCAAAGAAATTCCAAGAAATTTGGTTAAAGTGATACTACAAATGTCAAACAGATATTTTCCTAACTTGTTCACAGTGTTAGGGGGCATTCCTGTACCTGCTCCTTGTTTTGTCATCTCAGTAGACAAAGAAGGATAAGGAAGTTAGTGGCAACACAAATTGGGAGCATTGACTACTGTCATCTGCTTATTCACCAGCTAGCTAGTAAGCAAGCAAGCTCCTGGCAGCAAAGGCAGGGGAAGAAAAGGATGCTCAGTGAGGGAGGGGGTCAAATTACAGTGTGTCTCCCAACCTGGAATCAGCCCTTTTCTTCACACCAATATGTGATCATTACTCCAAAGTTCATAATAAGGTGCCTCTTTTCTCACTCTTTTAGCCACTATCCTGAACCCTAAATCTAAGTTGACTTTTCTGGATCCACACAGTTTCCCTTGTTCCACCCTTCTTTCAGGCTTCAATTTACCTCTGTCTTCTCCTCCACTACTAATATTTGCTTCCATTCGTCCTTCCTTTGCCCCTTGTTCCTTATTGACCTGGTGCAGTTCAGCCAGTTGCAGAGAGACCTTTGCCTGTCTCTTTCTCTTAACATCAGAGCAGCTCGGCCACATTTGAGAGACTCCACCAGAAACAGTTTAACTCTAATTCCATTGTAATGTAGAATGTATATTTGAGAATTCTTGTTCAGTCCCTAAATTATGGCAATCATCTGAGTTCATTAAAATCAAACTGAACTAGAAATAGTTGAAATTTTAAAAATGTATTTTGACTGTTGATTCTTAATCATAGTAATACCAACCAAGTGCTTGGAAGCAAAAGTATTCAGCTCTTTGGAGGTTGATTAAGCCCAGTTATATACAGTGCCTTTCAGAAGTATTCACATATATACCCTTCCATGTTGTTGTATTACAACATGAAATTGAAACAGATTTTCCTTTGGAATCATTTTGTGTTTGATTCCTTTAATCTTGTCGTTAATCAAGATGATTTTCCCAATCCCTGCTGAGGAAATGCAATCTTATGACACATTTCAGGCACCATACTTCACCATGGGAATATTGTTCTCAGACCAATATGCAGGGTTTCTTCTTTTCACGTCTTCATAAAGCCCAGTCTTGTGGACATCTGCACTATTGTTGTCCAGCTCCTTCAGATTTGCTGTTAGTTTCTTCTATGGCTAATACCCTTTCTATCTAGTCACTAACTTGTTGTGTTTATCCCTCTCAAGAAAAAGTCATGATTAGTTCTTTCCATGTTGTAATAATGTGTTCTGGGGAATATTTGGTATATTTTTTGAAAATCTAACCTTGAATTGTTCTTCGGAATATTGTTTGTAAAAATCTTGAAAACGTTTATCATTTGAATAATTACATTCATTCTAATATAAGAAAAGCTGTACTGGAGTAAGCTAACTGTTTATATAGTGGAACATTCTTGTCCCACAGTGGCTAACCACATTGCCATAGAGGGTATTAGCACAATAACACACTCCTGCTTAATGTTCCCTAGTCACTGGTCTTCATAGGTATACTACCGTTTGTACTGGAAGTAACATAAAGCCATCATTAATAAGCTTTTATAGCCTTTACCTTCAAAAACTTCTATGATCCCATTTTAAATCCATCCCTGTTTATATCCATCATCTTTATTTGCAGCAGTGAATTCTATATCTCATCCTTTTATATCCTGACTTTCCCACTGTATGCCTTTACTAGGTATCCCTTTTTTCTATCATTATGAAATTAATATATTACAATTTAGGAGTATTTATTTACCTTATCTTTATCACACATAATAGTATACAACTTTTTATCATTTCCGCTTTAATGCCATTTTCATTTCTAGAATTTAAGATATCACTGTGGCAACATAAATTTTTCTCATCTTCCCTTTTGATTAGCTGCTCTACCTTTTAATTATATAACTTTGTTTCTTAAATATTTTTAACTTTTCAATATTTGGGGGGAGGGCACAATGACAGAATTATATTCAGAATGTTACCAAATCACAGATTTGTATGAACACATTGTTATAATGATAGTTTTTTTTGTTGTTGTTCCTTTTCTAATAATCCCCAACATTGGGATCTGAATATTTCTTTATGAATGGGATTTTATCATCAACTTGCCATTTCCACCTATTTAGGAGCCAGAAGAGCAAGACATACAATAATTTATCCTAGTCTTCTATCTCAGAAATGACAAAAATAACAAATACAAAGTATGATAATATTCATAATACTGTTTTTTTATATAACACTTTAAGGTGTTTTTAGGGACAGAGTGTTGGATTCAAATTGCCAATGCCCAGGATCATTCAGATGTGTGGAAATGTCCTTACAATTCATTATTTTGTATGCTCACTCAGAAGTAGGTCTCACTGAGCTTTTTGGGACTTACCTACCTTTGTATTGCTGCTCTTACTGCATTTTAATTTGTTAAATGATTTACTTAATGCAGTATTCCATAGACCAGAGGTTCTCAAACTTTTGTCAGCTGTAGAGCCCCTTTTGAAGTAAAAGTTTTTCATGGATCCCTAAGAAATGTTTGTATATTATATTATATATTATGTATATATATCAGACGTGGGCAAACTTTTTGATGTATTGTGTTTTAAATTTTGACAGATGGGCTGGGCCAGTGGCAGATAGATGGAGAGTGTTTGTGTGAATTAATTGGAAAAAAAAACATGAACAAACCCCCTATATACTCTGCACATATCTTGTTTGTAGTGCAAGAAAGGAAAGAAAGAACAATACAATATTTAAAACAAAGAACTATTTTAACCAAAAAAAAAGCTTAATCTATTTCAGTCGAAGACCCTAGAGGCCATCCAGTTCAACCCCCTTCTACTATGCAGGAAAAGCACAATCAAAGCACCTTCAACAGATGTCAATCCAGCCTTTGTAATAATAGTAATAGGAGCAACTCCAGGGGCCATCCATCCATCCAGCCCAACCCCCTTCTGCCATGCAAGAAAAGCACAAGTGGGGGGAAAGCTTGGAAGGGGAAGAAAGCGCAGCGCCCCTCAGTATGGTTCGCGGAGCCCCAAGAGCTCTAGGTTCACACTTTGAGAACCACTGCCATAGACCATTGTAAGGTTAACAGCAGGGGATGTAGACATTGGTTTATGATGTTGTTTTAAAAGCTTGTTTCTACTTAGAATCTTCTGACGAAACTAAACAGTTTAGCTTTGATTCTGATTTAGTGATACAGCCTGACTGCTTCATCTGTAGGGGATACCCATGGGTACCTGAAACCATGGATAAGAGCAGACCCATTTACTATACTTGGACTGAAAGGATATCAAAGAATTGCACTGTAATATCTAGAGAGGCCCACAAACAATTCTGGAGAGACAATTTTTTAAAAATTAAGTAAAATCGTAGATATCGAATCAGTGAAAAGAGGGACTATACTGTACTGTAAATACATTCAATAAAATCAGAGTGCAATTACCTATTAATGTTGGTGAGATTCTTTTGACTTTAATGGATTTTCTGTAAGCATGATTTCAATTAGCTTTGAACCCATTTTGAATGGATTCTTCCCAGAAAACATATTTGGGTTTATTAAAAAAATCAAAATCTGTTGTAAATTATTAAAAATAGAAGGCCACAATCCAGACTAAATGGAACACCATTGTTTCAATGGGGCGATCCATTAGACTTAATAGTGCTTTCCTTGAACTTCCATCATACCTAAATTTATGCTAGTGTAGGAGTGGGGATTAATCACTCAAACCATATGGGCTCATGAAGAATAGATAATCTGACAGCTGGAGACAATAGTGCATGAGTGTTGAAGTTTAAGAAAATTGTAAAAACATTTAAAAACTTTAAAATCTGTTAAAATCTAAATACTTCATCCTTGTGTCATTTTCTTGCCTGTCTGTAGTGCTCAAGGCAGTTCAGTGGTCCTCTTTGTTGACTGATGATCCTCTGTCAATTTGGAAGCTACCTAGTTTATAGCAGGAACTCCTATGGCAAGTGTTGGAGGGTGAACCTCAGCAACAAATTTGGAGTTTCTTATCGTCTGGTACCACAACTGATCTTGATAGATCTTCAGTTTGTGTTTCTTACTGAACAGTTACCACCTCTCATGTATAGTCTGATTTCTACTCTTAAACCCTCCTTCCTTTAAGTCCCTCATTATCCCATTGTTCCATCCCCTTCCTTTAGTGCTCCACCCTTGCGCATGTATATAGTTCACTCCCAACATTGAGAATAAGAGAAAGGGGATGCAGTGATGCTCCATTAATAAAAATCAGTTTGTTTAAAATCCTTGCTGTATATGTTCCAAGTAGGTCATATAAAAAAGCACATACACCATAAGAAAAATAAGAGCTATACTCAAATTATTATTATTATTTGAAATATTTGCAGTGGAGAATGGATTACCAAGATTTCTCACTTCCTCTCATGTTTTATACATACCCAAAATATTGCAGAAATCATAGCCTTAAGAAAAAGGAAATCCAACCAAATATACTTCTACGGGATATTAATTTTCTATTATATTTTATACTGTGACGTACATTATAAACATGTTGCATGTATACAAACTCCTGTCAAATATTGTATTGGTTCTTCTTTGAACACCATACTAGAGGCATAAATATGCTTCATTTAATATTAATAATAACAATTTATAGAACAGCAGCGATTTTTAATTAAAACATGCTTATCATTTAATGTGATTTATTTGCCTTGTGTTTAGAATATTGCATGGTGAAGTTTATTTTGTGCATATACTTTTTATTTTACTAATATATTATGAGCCATATTTCAATGACCCCTGTACATTTTTCATGCTGTCTTAATCCCAATGGCCTCTGTGCATGTAAGTAACCTGTCAAGTGACAATGCCTCTTTATTTGCTTCTTACTGTTTTCTTTCAATGATTCCTTTTCTTTATTAGCTAGAAGTGTAGAAGTGTTTAAAAGTTCAGTCTGTAAATGTGTCCTTGTAGCCCTCTGAATTTGTGTACAAAATCATTCTTTCATTTATGTCTGAAAGCATGAAATTATTAGTGATCACAATTATATGATTATAAGGACCTTTATTATGATTGTTTTATACTTAAGGGGTGGTTTTATTAAGGTTAATTTACTTTTTAATATTTCTGTAAAGAGTATGAAAAGTGCTATAGAACTCAAATTATATTGTGGTTTAGCATGAAGAATATGGGGATAACACCTGTGGCCAAGGGGGGGGGGGGTCAAAAGAAAAGTCTTTTAAGGTTTTATAGAAATAAGTAGCTGAGTTAGGCAGGGCATTTGTTTATTGTAGGAAAATTATTTAATTTCAATTAATTGATACAACAAAGACAAGTTCTTAGTAAAATGCATGTACTACTTCATCGTGCTAGAGAATGAATCCACTTTAAGTCTGGTTTCTGCCTCCTGCAGATTTCTGGGATTTGTAGTTTAGTGAGGCTGTTGAAGGCTCCTCCCTAAACTCCAAACCTCAGAATTCTGCAGGAGGCAGCAACCGGATTTAAAGTGGATTCATTCTCTAGTGTGATGTGGTCCCTAGTTAATTCTCGAATTGTTAAACCAAGAATCTATCAAGAAATATTTTTGAAACCCAAATGTTCCTTTGCTATAGTAATTGTTCATATTTATTTATGAAAGTATATGTATCAGTATCTATCCCCCATGTTTCACTCTCAGTAGATCGTACCAAAATGGTTGTATGATTTATTGGTTTTTATACAAAATTAAGTTTTCAAGCATCCTGGATCAAACATATTCATGATTACTGTTGCAAGCCACAGAATAGGTTCAGTTTAAAGAATGGTTTCCTCCCTCTTACATCACACAATTCAATTATTTAAAATGCCCTTATAATTGTTCTAGATCTTTGAGATATTGTGTTATACTTTATTTATTATAACACCAGAAGAATGTCATTATTAGGCACAAGGTAGGATCATGATTTTATTATATACCGTATTTCACCCATTCTAAGATGCATATTTTTTTCTCATTTAGGGGCTCCAAAAACAGGCTGTGTCTAACAGTTGATGGTAGCTTAGATTCACTGGGTTTTGGGACCCCTAAGACAGGGGGAAAGTGTGCTTATTATTTTGGCGCCTTTGGGGACTGCAAGTGCACTGAGTTCATCTCCAAGGAGGAGGGAAAAGGAAGAAGGTGGTGGTATGAGACCAAAAAAAGAAGGACCTAAGAGCTTTTCAATAGATTTATTTATTTATTTTCTGTCAGAAGCATTTCATAAATAAGTATAAAACTGATTAAAATAGAGGGAACACAAGGAGTTATATTATTTTTGACCAAAAATGGGCAACAGCGACCACATTGCCTGTAGCTTTAAACAATTCTTCCTCTGTGCATGAGGCAGGGCATTGTGAACAAGTATACATTTGTGGAGTTGTCCATTTTGCTCCACAGTCGCACAAGGTGGAGGATTCTTCTAGGTAGCGCAATTTTGCCAGGTTGTCTTTTGATCTGCCCACTCTGCTTCTAAGTCTGTTCAAGGACTTCCAAGTTGCCCACTCTTGGTTTGCACATGGAGGCAAATTGGAACTGCAGTGTCCTCTGGGTCTGTCTTCTCTGCCAAGGGTAATGGAGGTGATGGTGAAGGAAGAGGATGGCTTCTAACTAGTGACCTTATCCTCACTGGCTGGTTTCCCCTCATGCCCTGCCCCTCACATCCCACCACAAATGAGTTGCTATCCCAATTTTTCTGTCAGCTTGGTGGGCGGAGGCGGGGTAAAATTCTGAGCTGGATTCGGTGAAATACAGTATATATTGTTGTATCATGGCAATTAGGAATAGATTCAAATAATAGTAGTCATGAACATAAGGACCTAAATCCAATAGCTAGAATCAACACACCAACCAGTGGGATTTACATGTTTTGGACTAGCATTTAGCAATTATGATTTAGTGGAACTACTTTAGTTAGTACTAACATTACATATCAGCCAAAGACAGCTAAGAAAATATTTACCAGAATCATATTTTATTAATGTATTCTAGTTATGGTGATTCCTTTATGGAGTACAATGAAGTCATTCTATTTTTTCAAATCTTTACTCACTGTCAACCTTTTTAAAAGCATGTCAATATAAAATTAGCACTTCTGTGTAAAGAGAACTCTACTTACAATTTGTATGATAATTATATCTGATGAGTTACTAAAACAACAAAACAAAGATTTGTAATGTATTTCCATAGTATTGATACAAAATGTCTAAATTGTTGCTCTTTGTGTAAGTAGATATTCTCATGTTCATAATCATCTGTCACTGTCTATAAACTTTATTACTCAGTTTTAGAAATTTCAGAACTTCCAGAAGCTCTAATTTTGTATAATGTGCATGGTCTCAGCCATAGATTTTTAAGCATGTACTTCAACATAAATTCCTATGAAGCATTTTTGTTTTGATAAATATTTAAAAGAAAGTGCTATATTAACTTATCAGCCAGCTAGAGATTTTTAATACAGATAAAATAGGTTGGATCCAGTTTTAGTTATACCATGTGCAAACCCATTCATTCCAATGAAAATTAAAATTCAAAGACATAGCCATATGAGTCTGGATCAGCACTTAAAGGGATATTATGGCATCTTAGAGAGGAACTGAGATAAAAACATTATATGATAACCTTTTGTAGATTGAATACTTGGCAGATGCAGTGATCACATATATCTTTCTCTGTCTCAAAAATGCTAAAGTATCCCTTTGCAATGAGATTTAATTTAGCCATCTTTAGCTTTATTTCCAAAAATCTTAAGTCAATGGGTATAACAAAATCTGGCTCCAACCTAATATTCCTGTGACTATAATTTACATTTTCTGAAGGCAGCCAATTCAGTGTAATGTTTTTCTCTTATATGGGCTTTTGTTTTCTGTTACAGTGTTTGACCAATTAGATCTTGTCACATATGAAGAAGTAGTAAAATTACCAGCCTTCAAAAGGAAAACACTAGTCTTACTAGGTAATTTGAGAATAACTTCTGTTTTATAATAATAAATTGGATATGTTGATATTTATGTGGTGATACTATGTATCTTTTTCATACAGGAGCACATGGTGTTGGGAGAAGACATATAAAAAATACACTAATCACAAAACATCCAGACAGATTTGCATATCCTATTCCACGTAAGTAACAGCTTTGTAAAGCAGAGTTGCAAAATCAGCTATTTCTTCTGTTGTGCTTAATATATACCACACAAAGCTTGACATTTAACAATAGCTAAGTAAGTTCAATCATGCCAGTAGCTATGGTGGCCAATGCCTTTTCCAATGACAGATCTTAAAAAATGGCATTACACTCTCCATCCACATAGTCTCCCCCTCCTCCACTTCTTGCATCTTTTTTGCAACTGTTATTTCCACATCCAGCCATTTAATGAGGGTTTTTTTAAAAAAGTAGTTGATACATCCCGACAGTTAACAAAGTTTTGTCATGCAAGCCTTATCTCAGTATACATTATTCCAAAAGTAAATATTCCTTAAATAACACTTTATACATTCCTTGGGTATGTATCACCCATCACCCACACCCTCCCCCCTCCATCCCCCCCCCTTCCTGGAACAGCAATTCTAATGATGTTATTTCAACAGTTTAACCGTGTGGAAAGCCTGGTTCAAAATGTTTTATCTGTCATTTCTGTCTATTTTGTCGATTAGAACAGAACATTTCCTGTACCAGTCTAGTTCTGTATGACTATTTATATACCTGTTTTTCCATTGATTTATGAAGTCATTGAGTATATATTCCGATAGATAGGCCCACCAAGTTTCTAAAACCCATCTTGTATTGTCTCTCCATCCTCGAGCTATCGTAGCCTGTATTGCGGCTGTCATATATTTTAGGATTTCTGTCCTATTATTGTTATCTTCCTTTGCCTCTGTAGTGAGAGACATGAATCTGGCTTTATTCCACATTAATTTTTCCCCTATTATTTCTTCCATTACATTTCTTATTTTACTATAATAGTTCTGAATTTTTCTACAATAATAATACATTTTATTTATATCCTGCCACCACCTCCCTAAGGGGACTCAGGGCAGCTAACCTGAGGCCAAGCCCAGAAATTACAATAAAGCAAAATAAAATGCATACAAACAAATAATAACATCCAATAACATCAAATAAAATGCAACAATAACAAAATTATGCAATAAAATAAACACAAAAACTAAAATGATAACAGAATTGAACACAGTGGGCTGGTCCCACTGTGTAAAACCCTGGGGTGAGATAGGTAAAAAGAATAGTGTATCCAATGGGAGACTTAGGTGGGAAACACAATGGGATTAATCTTCACTGGGGGATGGGATAAAGTGCATCAGAAGRACAAATTAGTACTGGGRCWGGCATGGTATGKGRATTYGTTGTTCATTCYTCAAAAGCACACCAGAAAATTAATTAATTGTGTTAATTCGATGACATACACGAAAATCATGTCACATTTAATGTTATCTTGTCTATCTTGTCTGTCTTGTTCGTCATATGCACATGTATCTTGTGTCAATGTTACATGTTTATTACTGTTACAAAACCAATAAATTAATTCTAAAAAAAAAAAGCACACCAGAAAAGYCAAGTTTTTAGGYTCTTCCTAAAGGTTGCCAAGGTGGGTGCTTGCCTAATCTCCCTGGGAAGCGAGCTCCAAAGCCGGGGGGKGGGGAGCACCACAGAGAAGGCATTCTCCCTCATCCCCACAATCCCACCACATGTGGGAGAATAAACCTATCCCCCCCCCCCCCCACAGTTATACCAGCACTTGTTTGAAATATAGCCCATTATATGAAGGGGGTTTTATACCATTTAGATATTATTTTCCTCTGGGTTTCTTTTATCATATGTTTAATTTTATGAATATTGTCAATCCAAGACCTAATTAATTTCTCACTAAAGTTTTTTTCTTGTTTCCAATTCTCTATAAGGGTTGTTTTAGTATTGTAAGATAAGGTGATTAGTTCCTTGTACTGTAATCCAATAATTCCTTTGTCTATTTCTACTTTCCTTTTTATTATTCTGTCTAGTGGGGTTTCTGCTACTAGTCTTCTTTTCGTGGCCTGAGCTCTACAGGACAGATCTAACCACACTATCCAGTTCCCTTGTCCACCTTTGCCTTTTATCTTATCCCAGTTTGTTATTTCTCCATTTAATGAGTAACCCTACTTAAACAAGAAACACAGACCTGATCCAAGGCATTTTGCTACCTGAGCTAAAGTTTTCCTTCTCCAGTCCATGGATAGTGAACTGACAGTTGGAGCATCTCCTACCAACCCTGAAACAGCAGACTAGTTCAATCTTTAGTTCTGTCCTCCAACAGAAAAAAGCAACCAGACAAATTAGGAAAAATGGGTGGAAGGTTATCACTTACATAAACATATACAATGCACAAGCATCAACTGACATAGATAGTCTCAATGTGCCCAGTGGTGGAGTCTTATCTTGTTTATGTGTGTGTGTATAAATTTTTATTGTGGTATATGAGAAAAAACAACAATTTTGTGAAGACAATTGTAAAACTATGTGCTGCAGTATCTTGCTGAAATCCATAATTTCATCATGGCAGTTGTATTAAATAGGACTTACTCTCAATAAATTCCATCACAATTCCAAAATTATTTACTGTTCATTTTTGTAAAGATAAACAGATTTACTGATGAATGACTTTAACGTCAGAACATATATGCATTTAGGTTTTATGAGTGAAACAAAAATCCACTATAAAGGTCCCTGCCTTGTGATTGCAGACACAACAAGACCACCAAAGAAAGATGAAGAGAATGGAAAGAATTATTACTTTGTATCACATGACCAAATGATGCAGGACATTTCCAACAATGAATATTTGGAATATGGTAGCCATGAAGATGCAATGTATGGGACAAAACTGGAAACGATACGGAAAATCCATGAACAGGGACTAATTGCAATACTTGATGTAGAGCCTCAGGTATGTGGAATAAGTGCTTATTTACTACAGACAAAATGTGTTTTGCACTGATTTTATGTAATATAAATTAGCATATTTGATACAAGGTAACAAACAAACTGAACTCAAATGAGAGTCTTCTCGTGTTGTCTTCAGCTGCAGTCTTGATTCATTTCAGACCTTACACTTTGCTTTTTGAGGTATCAAAATTGTTGTATGGTAACATAATTGTAACTCGGAATGGTCCCTGAACTTCTGGAAGAAAATCAAGATTATATCTGTTTCCCATTATTTATCAATGTTATAAGGAAGGAAATCTGGTATGTTTTCCATTTCTTGAAACATTGTCAAATAATGGAAAAATACATATTGCAGAAATTACATTATGTACAGATGTCTCTATTATAGTTAGATATAAAGAGCAAACAGCATTCTTTATTTTACAAATACAGGAAAAGAGCAAAGAGTCATCATTAGAGGGTGCAATCAGCATAATCCTGATTGGTCTATCAGAAAGATAGATTTGCATGTTAAATATATATTTACTTAACTATTCGTAAAACAACTTCTTGTATATAAATAGGATTGGCTCAGATACATGACTCTTGGGTACAGGAGTGCTACTCAAAGTGTGATCCCTTAACTGGTGCCAGTCCCTGAGCTATCGGTTGCTGGTCGATAGCAAATTTCCAGGAAGGAAAGAAACCATTGTAATTGATGGGCACAAACTACATGCCAGTCCCTGGCACACTGGGAAAAGGTTATTGTCACTCTCACATATCAGATTTTCCAAGAAGCACTCTTGTAGAGTATACAATGCATTATGGAGAAAGTATTTAATCAGTCTGGGTAACTTCAGTGTTAATGTTACCTGGAGTAGACTGAGCACAGTCCAAACAAAGTTAAACACTTTGTCCCATTTATGCATGGGGTCATTTAACAATGTCCACACTTTGCCCCAGTGAAATCATTTTAAAATGTTGATTGGATTGTGCTAATTTTAAAAAGAAGAAAATAAATTTAGGGTATATACATTACTATATACTCGATGATGGTGATGATGATGATGATGATGATTATTATTATTATTATTTATATCCTACCTTTTCACTTCACAAGGAAACTCAAAGTGACAGTATATCAGCATTTCTGTGTCACATAGACTTCCCCCTTCCATCTGAACCCTATTGTATTATAGAAATATACAAAATATGCTAATTCTTTCATTTCCCTTTCTCTTCTTGATTTCTCACTTAGCCCAAACTATGAGTATACTAATATATACATGTTTTTATTCAAATCAAAAAGTCTCTGTTCATCAGCATGATTCCAGAAGCAAGGATTCCCGCTTTTGTAATAGTTTGGAGAAGTTACACTTCAACATTCATGTAATAGTTTGGAGAAGTTACACTTGGACATTCATCTTCTGAGGAAGAACCTTTTTTTATAAATATCTGCATACAAATTGGCAGTTCTTCTACTTCTGTACTCCACATGTTGTTATACAGTCAACCCTCCAAATTGTTGGGGCTAGGGACACAGGACCTGTGATAGTAGAATTACAACTGTGCTTTGAATTCAAGATTTGATGTTGTATTGTAGAATATAGTGAAATGCTTACTGCAAAAACATCTAGCATGGAAATTGAACATTATTTTTAACTACATTCAAAAAGTTATGTATCAAAATAGATCAAGAATATGAGAAAGGTAGGGAAGACTTAGTTCTAAGCCTGAATAGGGATAGAAGGGCTTTTAGGCGTGGGCATGTTTGCCCCTAATAAAAGCAGGCCATTTTCACCAGAGTTTTTTCCATCACTATGACTGCAAATGGTATGTCAAAATATCATGAGATTATATCACTATTTCTGAGGTAAGCACACCAACACATTATGTTGAATTGGAATGCTGCCACTGTCTCCACAACAAGGACTATTACCTCCCCCGCATTAGTTTAGAAAGGTAGTTAACTTGCAATGATATAGTGATACATAGTCCAAAATGATTGATTATATAGTACTGTGTCATCATTACATTCCCTAAACGACCATTGAGATCAGTTACAGACACACAAACCCCTTAGAAAAACTTTAAAAAAGCCACTGAGGCAGCAGTAGTGGAAGAAACAAGCTGTCAAAAAAAAGGCAGAAAATGTTTTTTCATCTCCAAATCTTAATAGATAAAAGTGTAAGGTGACTACTATATAAATTTCTCATATAGCCGGAACCTAAGTATTTTGCAGTTTCAGTGGTACAAACTGAATTACACCTTATCTTCCAGGCAGGAGGGGGCTGGACCAAATCCAACTTACAACATTGAAAATACTGAACACAATGTCATATATAAAATGTGAGGTTTTTGTAAGATTGAAATCTGAACAAACGCATGACTTGCTTTTAAAATTGATTCAGAACCATATGTGTTATTATTCATGTCATGCCTCTTCTTTACCTAGGCCCTGAAGGTCCTGAGAACTGCAGAATTTGCTCCTTTTGTTGTTTTTATTGCTGCACCTACAATTACCCCAGGCATTAATGAGGTAAGGGATGTTACAATGAAATCTCATTTGTAGACATTTTTACCAGCCACAGGTACAGACTTTAATCCTATTTGGCAGAATAGATGGATATTATCTCATAGTTATTAGAGAGAGAAAATCAAAAGAAACCATGTTCAGTATTTGTTCTCTGTCCCCTAATGAAGTTTTAGAACATGTTTTCCATTCATTCATTCATTTTTCTTTCTAAAACGTCATTTATATATGTAATTTTCCTTTCTCTTTACCTGCTTTGTCATTCTTTGTTTTAATTCCTACCTTTAAATAATACTTTCTTAGGACTTGTCTGTACCAGCTAACTTTTGGACAATATGCCTACACTGAACATACAATAGAGGCTGATGAAGTACACTCTTATTATTTCCTTTTCCTGATTGTCACTGAACAGATGTCCATATCATATTCAATTTAAACAAAACTTCTACAGAAGTGTAGTAATAGTCTCCTGATTTCACTTGGAGTAAATGTGATGTTACTTCTCTCAATCATTATAATCCTGTTCTATTAATCAAGAGTGTTTCTTGTTTCTAAAGTGAATCTTGAGATTCAAAATTATTAATTGCTAGGAATTAAAAAAGAATTTAAAATTCTGCATACATCATAAGTTCTCCCCCATTTTTTATTTTTTGCTTTTTAGATGTCTCTAATAGTACTTGTGTGGGTATCTAGGTGTTTCTGTATGAGAAGCATAACACATTGCTTCATAGCTACAGAACCACTTTTATTCTTTTTTTTAAAAAAACTGAAATTTAAGCAATTCAGAAATTCAGAAAAATTAGAAGATACACAGAATATCAAACATCAGATGTTAATAGCAAACCAGCACCAAAATAAGAGGTCGACTTCCCATAGCTTTTCCTTTTCCTGACAGCAGAGGGCCATGGCACAACAATAGAAACAGCTGCTGAAGTAACAATGTAAATGTGTTAGTTTGAATGTTTATTCCATAATATTTGAAATTAATTTACTAGCATAAACACCAATAATATAGATATATTAATTAAGAGTGTTACTGTTAATTAACACGTTGTTAATGTGTTAGTATTATACAATTGTTGCCTGGGATTTCCATATATCTGGTAACTTGCAGATTGAGAAGACTGTTCCAGAATATGGGGTCATGCAACATCTTCAATTAATCTGCATCTCTCTCTCTCTTATTTCTTCTTCACCAATACATACACATCGTTCACTCTATAAATGCATTACTAAATGTACATAAGGAACAATTCATTACAGCTAGACAGCATTGATGTACCACAAATACCATGTTAATTATTAATGGATGCTTTATTCAGTTTGAAGGCACTTCTCCACTGCAAGTATAGCAATAAGTGAATAGCTGCAAACATCAGTGAACTAAGAATGGAGAGTACTAATCTGACATTTTTAGAGCCTCTGCACATATGCAGAATATTTTTGAATCACAGTATCCTCTCTGCCTCCACATTCTTGATCAAAAAGTGTGTTTTGCCAATATCAGTGGTAGAGCACAGATTTTCAATGCAGGATAAAGCCAGGGTTTCCAAATAATATTGTTGGCATTGGCAATTTAAACAATCTGATACTTAACATACCCACCTTTCTCTGCACCCACATTAGATTAGCTTTATAAAAAAGCGATTGATGATAAAAAGGACAAGTACAGCTAGGTAAAAAGCAGAATGAAAAGGAGAGAGATGAAGAAGCCACAACTTTGAAAAATGTTTTTTACTTATTCAAGAGCCTAGACTGTGTAAATAGCCCACATTTGCACATAATATTCCAGCGCATATTATAAAATACTATACAACATAAATCAGTCCAAAATTTAATCGATGAAAGGAAGGAAGGTTACTACAAAGAATGCATTCCCATGTACCCCAGAAAATACCAAACGGTTTCTTTTCATACAAGTTCACATAGGGGGTTTGCCTCAGCCAGAAAGCTGTAAATCCTAAAAGGCTGTTCTGAAATAGTTATAGTATGTTTCATTATATTTTATTCTTACAATATGCAATAGATATCATTCCCAATACTATTTCCCTCCTACCCCTCAGGACTTACTTTCAAATAAATGTGTACAGAGGTGCAGCCCAGAGAGGCTTAGGACAGTCTAGCAATAAAACCAACTATTTGGATAGATTAATTTTAAACTGTAGACCCTTAAACTTCAGATCATCATTCCATTACTTGAGATCTACCTGACCAATATTGCTCATATCCAGACTACTACATCTAAACAGTTTTGCTGTGTTTTAAAAGCATGATGCTGAAGCTATTTTCTAATTCTAAGTAGGTAAAATCACATGCTGAAAACATAAGAAAACTAGTACCAACACAAGGAGATAGGCATTGAAATAAAATAATTGTTAGAAGAGTTGCTGTTGCAGACAGATCCTACATGTCTGGCCTTTTTTTCTCTTGAATTATCATCTTTGCTTTGCTTCTCATTTTCTCGCACTTGTACTGATTTTATCTAGCTGCCAAAATGGTGCAGAAAGTTACCTGTAAGTACCAGCTAGGTATAAATAATATTTAGTTCTTACTCTGTAGTTTAAATGTAGATATCAATGTGTCATTACTTTTATCCCTATCACTGTGGCTACTTCTACTTTGTTGTGTAGTTGTTTTGTTCTATTTTAATTCTTAAGTCAGGAGATCTGATCAAGGATCTCCTTCATCTAATACAGCATGAATAATACATTAGGGGTGGGATGCAGCCTAATTTTTCTCAGATTATGTCATGCGTGTTCTAGCCAACAGAACACATACTTTTTCAAAAGCCCTGGTTTGAGGCAAGAGGCTGCTGCTTTTCAGCTCACTCCTGGCATTAGTATATACTGAAAGGAATCATTTTGAATGTTTGGATATTTTTCTTATTTTTATTGGGGCCTTGACATCACCCTGCCAAGTAGGAAGGAGTAGGAACATTCTTACTAGGACCTAAAAAGAAAGATCCACATTTCTTGTCACTCTGAGATAATGACAATGAATTATTCATATATTTAAAGAGATAGATGTCCTGTTCACTTTTCAAGTAAATTGAGCAGAACACAACCTATTTAAAAAGAGCTACTTAAAAAAAAATGAGTCAAAATGGTTCCAGTGGTAATAGGTGCAGTGCATTTATTTCTTTGTCTTCTGTGCTTTTTGCAGCATCTAAAGATTTTAGAGCAGTGGTCTTGACCTCCAGATAGTTTGGGCTTCAACTCCCGAAATTCTTGATGATGGACCAGGTGCCTAAGGTGTCCAGATCTGTGGTCCAAAACACCTGAAGAAACAGTGTTTGTGTGCCATAATTCTAGAGGCAGCTCAGAATATTAAAAAAAATACATTCAGAGGGAGGTACAAAATAGAAATAGGAAATAATTCCCTTGTGTCACAATGGCATCGCATAGTTCAACTGCATGGCTGACAGTTTTGTAATCTTTAGTGCAGTGATGTAGCATTTCAGCTTCCATAGAATGGGTTGAGCAAGTAGATTTGTGATCACGATAGCCATCTACAGTATGCTACTTTTAATAAAGTTTTAATGCATGCTGTAGGCTATATTTCAGTGGAAAGAACTGGCAAAACCACCTCTGAGTATTTGTTCCCCAGAAAGCCCTATGAGATCAGTATGGATGCATAAGTCGACAGATGACTAGAAGGTGCTCATGCATATGTATGGTAGAACTGTCTTTGCATAACTCTCAGTGTGGCGTGCCAAATCAACAAGGACATTTTAAAATAATTCAAAGTTTCTGAATCAGTAAATTGGTGGAACAAAAATATCTGTTAGTGTTTGAGGTTACAGAGTTGAAAGGCTCTTGGGTCAAGAGGGAAATGACAAATGTTATCATTGTAGGGGAGATGCTGTATTTCCCTACAGCTAAAATGATAAGACATCTCTTGTTACATTAGTGCAATATTGCTAAAATATTAATGGATGTGACTGGACTGAGCATGAGGTAATCATGCAGAAATGCTCCCAAATGCTTTTAGGTTATGATTATAGATTTTCCAGGCATTTTGACTCTAGAAACTGTGTATCAATATTTTTCTGGTTGGTCCCCACTACCCCTTGACAATGTGCATGTGCCAAAGGGGGTAATTTTCATTACACTTTCTCAGTACTATTTTTATGACTCTTTAAATATTAACTCATATGGAAATGTTAAAATGGCAAAGCCAATGAAAAGGAACATTATGTCTATTGATGAGCTGGTACTAAAAGTCCCATGCTGCTACATTTGTCTCATCTATAGTCGAAGTATTTTTATATAGTCTGTTATGCAGCCTTCATATTCGAAAAGGCAAACAGTGATGCCCATGGAATAAATCAACATCCTTTAATTTTGGACTTTATGAAAGTGTGCTCATGGAAAAAAGAGACATTGCAGCCATAGTCTTGTAACTTCTAAAACTTCTAAAATGAAAACTATAATGAGAATGGAAATAATACAACTCTTTCTCCTCCCTTTTCCCTAATCGCTATGCAGGATGAGTCTCTCCAACGCTTGCAAAAGGAATCTGAAATCTTGCAGAGAACATATGCACACTACTTTGATCTTACAATTATCAACAATGAAATTGATGAAACAATCAGGCATCTGGAGGAAGCCATTGAGCTTGTTTGTACAGCGTCGCAATGGGTTCCCGTCTCCTGGGTGTATTAATCCTGACACGCAAAGGATTTTCTCTTTACTGGGAACCACCTCGTACATGGACAACCTCTTTGTTATTGACCTTCTGTCAACAGGTCTTGGCCCCTAGAGACTACCTAGATGTAGTGTGACCTAAATTTATAATTATCGTCATGTCCTTATAGATAGGAGGAGAAAAATGCTAATTTAAAGAGACAGTATCTTTTTTAATCAGTTCTCCTACACTTTATTAAAATGTATCTTTAAATATATGTATTATTCAATCCTTTGGAATGTTATATTTTTGGAAATCATAGCTTTTAATTTCAAAGGCCCCTAAAACTGCACAAAATAGATGCTGCTTTCTATAATCTATTTTAATAATAATATGATCTGTTACTTAACTTGGGGGTGGAACACTACATTCTTTTTAGAGTCTGATTTTGTGAATTGGAATACCTTGCTTTCCTTTATTTATTTGAAATTATTAGCCCAATCATGACCAGATCAATTCTTACATTTTAATGGCCTTCCTTTGCATTTTTTAATTATTTTTAGAATAGCATTTTGAAGTACTTTCATGTAATATTCGGATAATGTGATACTGTCTCTTTGAAGAACTCTGTAAAACTTATAGAGATTTGAAGTTGGGTCTTGACTCTTAATGCATGTGGACAGTCGCAAGCGTTCATGCTGTTGGTGTATCTGTGTTGAAAAAACTGTAATCTACAGCAAAGTACATTCCGTTCATGGGGGGAAAGTACCCAAGGGAATAAAATAAAAAATACTATGACTAAGTTGTAAAACCTATGCACATCCCTTGCATTTTGGGCAACTTTATAAACAAAAATCCTAATTTTTATTAATAATCATGTAGTGAAATGTGTTTGTAATTTTGTCTCAATTTAATTTGTTGTAAAGGTGGGAGGGGAAAAAATTACTGGTTTCACCATTTCAGATCTGTGTTGTCTGAGAGTATTAACGTTTTAATTACGTTTAAGCAGAGAAATGCTGATTTTTAATATGTATGTAATTGTTTTGAAAATGCACACATTTTAAGAGAAAATACTGTGCAATGAAGAAACCAGTTTAGGCATTGCGATAAAACTAACAATTCCAAAAGACTCATCAGCCCTGTAAATTCCTTTCAACAGTAAATGACTCTACAGTCTGACCAATTTTTTATTTTAAATATACTTCCTTTTATGTGTTCAATTAAATGCCTTGGGTCATTCATTTCATCACAGGATCTCTCAAGTGCTTCTAAAGCTAACTGTCCTCTTTGAAGATGTTTGGGGAAACCGTCCTCACCACCTTTGCATTCAGTGGCACTTCTGCATTGATTTCAAAACTTCAAGACTTGTGGTCCCCTTAATAATTAAGGGTTGCTTCATGCATTTGTCATTTTAGCATGTGCCTATATTTTACATGCTAAAAACATATATCCCAAAACTGCATATAATATGCTACATAGGTACGAATGGCAGGAAACTCTCAATTGGTCACAGCTATACTCTGATGGAGAAACACATGTCAACAATGTGTGAAGCAGTCCTAAATTTTATATATGGGGCCTTAATATTCAAATTTTGCCATGTATTCATCTCAGGGCTTTTACAGTTTTCTGATTTTTCTGACTGGTCTCCCGACAAGAGTGGTACCTGTTCACTCTCACAGAAGAGAGATATAGAGAATTATCCACCCCAGCTTAAGATGCCTTTGTGAACCTCACCACCATTTATCATCAGTATTGTTGTACCTTGGACTGATTGTTTTACATTTTTATTATTTACTATGGATTTTTTATTTTATTATTAAATTCCAGTATGTTTTTGAACAATGTTATCTTCCACATTCAAATGCAGAATTGTTATTCATTTGTAGATAGTTTCAATTCTTTAAAGAACTATCCAGAATTCAAGGTTTACATAGTATTCTAAAAGATTGAAGGTTTTAAGAAAACATTCAAAATATTCACCCATGTTGGTTCCTTTCATTGCAATGTCAGCACATAGACAGTCATTACTTGCTACCAGTTTTCTGAGTTGGTGATGGTTATGACTCATAAAAATGCTAAAAGTCTTACATTCAAAATGTATTTTGGTTACAAAAGAAGTCAAAAGACAGCCCATCATTTTGAAATGTGGCACTCTGCATACTCATAGGTAAGTATTTATCTACAAAAAGATTAAGCATCTAACTCTGTCTTGGTGTATATTTCAACATGTTTATGACACGTTCTGAAATGACTGTTCACTGCAAGCTAGTTCTGGATTTCTGAATCTGACATAACAAAACTAAGAAATGAATTTTCTTCTTTGCCTTTGATTAACTGTAACACTAACAAATTGGTCTGTCTGTGCACATAGAATCCCTGTAATCATTACATAATATTGGTGACACTGTTTGAAGAAAGCTACAGTGGTTTATTTCTTGTCAATATAATTTGTAAGGAATTAATTTAAAAGGAACTATTCTGACTTAGTGCTCTGGAAATGTGATGTCCAACTTCATCTAAGATGTTTCCGATCTCCTTTTGCACCTTAACATGTACAATATATATTTATATATAAGTTAACTTCATGTATGTGTATAAGTTGAGGGCAGGTTTGGGGGCAAAAATTATGGATTTTGATATGATCCATGCATAATTTGAGAGTCATCCTACAGAAAAGGTAAAGTACCAGTTCTGTCTCAAGGGGCCAGGTGCCCTTGGCCATCTCTACCATTCCCTCTGGCATTCAAAAGGTCCAGAAGCAGCATTGTGGCGAAGAGAAGAGGGTGGCAGTGCTTCTTTTGGGTTCTCCTGGGACGGCCCAAGGTCTTGATTTTCACCACGCTCTTCAGAGAAGGAAATGGTTCCTTTTTTGTAAGAGTTAAGGTACAGTACTAACATTGACCCAGGGATAGGTTGAGCCAGTTTTTAGTGGGTTTTTAAAACTAAAATTTCAAGACTTCATGTATAAGTATATAGAACATATGGGGCTAAACACCTGCAGATTTTTCTAGCCGTTACAATTCTTTCCCTGAGTCAGTATATTTGACCATAATTGATGGAAATTCACAACCAATATCACTCTTCAATATTTTCACAAGTTGAATATTTACTTGGAAGTACTAGCATAAATTTGAGGTGTTTTGGCCTTCAACCCACAAAAATCCCAGCCAATTTACCAGCTGCTAGGATGTCTGGGAGTTGAAGGCCAAAACATCTGGGGACCCACAGGTTGTGAACCACTATGTTAGAGGTTATTGGGCCTTTTAAAAACTTTAAAATATAGTATCATTTACAAGTTTCTGTGCAATTGGCTGGTTTCACCATTTAATGGAATAAAGTACTATAGCATGGCTTTATGGCTTTTGCCAGCTAATGAAGTAGCATTATGTTTCAGCCATTAGAACAGAAGAGGATCTGTAGGCTATTATGCTGAGTAGAAAGCAATCCAACATACCAAGTTTAAACATCTTTTGAGTAGGAATTTATCAGTACATTAAGAATATCAAGTCTAAATGCACTAATGTGAAAGTACTATCTAAGTATATATCTTCTGTTTGTCATATAGAAAACAGATATAGATAACAAAAAGTCTGGCGTTTTTCTAGCATTTCATTCAAATTAGACATCTTTACATTCATGTTATTGTTGTATGACTTCACATCATTTTCTAATAATGGCAGCCCTAAGATTAATCTATCCTAAACAAGATTTGCTCAGAGAAAGGTTGCTATTGCCGTCTTCTGAAGCTGAGAGCATATGATAGATATACGTAATAACGTGCTGTGTTTGGATTCACCAACCTGTTGAAATATGAACTATGAAAACTGATAGTATTTTAGTGGATTTTTAAAGCCCGGGTCTCATTACATTGCTTATGGCTACATTGTATTACCATCTGTTGAGAGTTCATATACTGACTAGACAATCTGACATACATTTTGGGAGCCCTTCCCCATTACAAATAAAAGGCTTTGGAGAAACAATAAAACTGCAATTTATCACAGCTGTGTAGTTATGTATTACAATTACATAAGATTGCAACATGGGTTATGGCCATCTAAGTATAAACAGCCCACAGTTTGATAATCTTTTTCATTTAGTGTAGCTGAAAATAACCATCTTAAGATTCTCCAAAAGTATGTTGAAGCATCTAAAGAGCTATGCAGAAGAATCTGAACACATTTAGGTTCTCAAAAATATATCAGGTACAGGCCTTTGAAAAGTATGCCAAGAGATACAAATTTATCTGAATTGAATCTGTGCTTGCATTTTGTCCTCAAAACTTCCCCTAAAGGCCTCATTGTTACATAATGCTTCTCAGCAGTATTTTCACAGGTTTTGGTATCATCTCTGAAAGAATATCCTTGAGTGGCGGTTTATTCCACCTCCATTCGGTAGGAAAAATACATTGCATCATCTAATTCAGAAGTAGCATTCCAAATGGTTTGGACTGTGACACCTATAATCCCTTAGCCTTCTATGCTCTTTAGGGGTGGTAGGAGTGGAAAACTACAGGCATCTGAACAACCCTATGCATGCCTTGAAATTCAAGAAATACATTGCTTTTATCCCACCTTTTTCTGTTTAGAAACTGAAAGCAACTTACAACAAATTTAATATATTTATATATATTTATTTTCTTCTTCATCCTGTATCCTATTTTACATCATTTCCAGAATAAAGGGGAAAGGTAGATATAAGGAATTAAATAAGACTATCCACATGATTGAACAATTATAATAAGCATAGCAAGAGTAGCAAAGTGTTCCTGAGGGAGAGAACGAGGAAAAATGAAGTTTACTAAAATACATTGAACTGTTTAATTCCATATGTGTGTGGTGTAGACTTCATCTTTATCCCTTCCTTGCTATTTCTGCCTCTGGTACCAAATTTTCTATTAATGTTCATTAAGTGAAATATACCTGTACTACCATATCATAGACACTTGTCCTAAAAAGCATGCCAGTGTGGCTGGTTGTCAATTGTAAATCTAGGGCATTGTTTTCAGCCAGGGTAAAAAAAAATACATTATAGGTATTACTGTTTTTAAAGATAAACATGCCTTAGGAAGAAAAAAGGGGAACTCACGTCCAGAGAATTTACACTTCAAAGAAGAAATTAGCACATTAGCATCAAGAGTTACTTCATTGTTTTGTAATGTGCTGATTTCAAGTACTGTATTTCAATTTAGTTTCCTGAATGTATTAATCGGATTTCATAAGTTTACTTGTGGAACTGAAGAAAATAAAAACATCTGGTCTTACGTGAAGCTACAATAACCCAAAGAGATTATAACTAGAATGTTAAATTGCTGCCATCCCATTTTAAACATTTAATGAAAAATATGAATATGTGATTTTTATTGTATTTTAGCTGTCTTTCTTTTTTAGTGGCTCATGTTTAACTTGTTGTCCATGAGGACTCCAAGATCTCTTTCACACGTACTGATCTCGGGCCAGCCATCCCCCATTCTGTATCTTTGCATTTTATTTTTTCTGCCTAAGATGTAATGAATACCATTAATATTTGGAAGTTTTCTTTATGGTAGTGCTGTAGTAATTATTATTATTATTATTATTATTATTATTATTATTATTATTTCTTAACCATCCTATAGATGGACCTCTGTGAGTGAGAAATGTTGCCACCAATTCTCTTCTGGAAAAATGATACAGGTCACAGTCCACCACTCTATTATTTTAGTATTTCTGCAACCTAGGGTTGAATTAGGAGTTATAAAAGGCATGTGGCATCTGCCTAAAACAGGACATCCTATGATTCTTTTTTTTTAAAAAAATCTTCCATTGGTTAAGTCTAAAGAAATCCCTATAAGAGTCACCTTTATTTTAAAAAAAAACAGTATGGAAGTGACTATATCTGTAGTAGTGATTTCAGTGAAGTGTCAGTCTCGTATTTATTTCCACCTTCTTATCTCAAGGATGTTAGTAAAACTGAATTAGTGTCTGGTGGTAATTTGAAGTGGATTAACTTGAGCCAAAGGAAATTTAACCCAGAAGGCATGGGAATATTGGTGTTTGTAATCCTAGATTAGGTTTCAATCCATTCTCAGAGCTTTGCACTTCCCTAGCTGCGACATCTTCATAGTTTGGATTCTTAACCCAGATCTGCATTCAGAGGTCTATGTGATAGCTGTGGCCCAAACACCTTCAAATTGTTTGCCAGCTGCCCCTTTCATAGAAATTCCAAGCCCAGCTTCTGTTTTTTTATGCTCATCACCTACAGGTTAAATCAGGCATGGGCAAACTTCAGCCCTCCGGGTGTTTTGGACTTCAACTCCGACAATTCCTAACAGCCTCAGGCCCTTTTCTTTTTTCCCCCTCAGCCACTTAAGAGAAAAAGGAAAAGAAGGGGCCTGAGGCTGTTAGGAATTGTCAGAGTTGAAGTCCAAAACACCCGGAGGGGCCAAAGTTTGCCCATGCCTGGGTTAAAGCATAACAAACTTTACCTGATAGAAGATTAGTGTTGGCTGACTATTATGAGCATTTTGCACCTCTTGATTTGACAGGCTGAATTCAAGATGATTTTGATCTTAAGGTCCAAAATAGAGACAAGAACTGCAACCATATGAGAGTTGAGACCTTTGTGCCAATGCAGAATCCTTCCATCATATGGAAATTGATAGGGTGGATATCCAGAGAGACCATCTCAATCATGTTGTTCAATTGTATTTGCAGTGTCCTCCTATGGAAGGCCTTGACATCCCTGGAGTTGAATCTTATTATGAATTATACTGCTGAAGAGGACTAACTTTAGTTTCCTAATAAGGTTTTTCCAGGATATAGCGTTTCTTTGACATTTGACATGCTTTGATATGTGTAGGAAGATAAAATTAATATAGATAAGTGGTGTGTCATAATCAAATGATAATATATAGCTTGTCTATATTTAGCTTTCATGTGTACCTGTCATATGACATTGAAGCATTTTAGATGAAGGGCAAGTTTTTCTACCTCAGTATATTTTTTATCCACAAAATTGATACAAAAATACTATTTGGCTAGCTTGAAAAGTGTGTCTTTTTGTACTCATTGTTACAACCAAATGAACCAAAGGAAAGATATCAAAGATATTTATTTATTTCGCATATTTCTACCCCGCCTTTCTCAACCCCCGAGGGGGGACTCAGGGCGGCTTACAAAAGGCACAATTCAATGCCTACACAATAATACAGATAAACATATATAAACAGCTATTAAAATCTTGATGGGGAAGACCTAGGAAAATAAAAGCTATCAGTAGTAGGATGGCAGACCATCACATTTCAGCATCTGTTGTAAGATCTATATAGTGAGTTGCTCCAAATTTGTCATCATATTCTACTACTACTTTGCTGCACCTCCAGTTTTGAGGAATTGGAAATACTGAAATATCATCTTCAAAAGAAACCTAACAACATAAAGTGTTATTAGTAAGGAAATATAAGCTTTGCTTTTCTGTGAGCTGTAGCTTGCTTCTTCAGATGGAAGGAATATCTCCCTGAGGGGGAAATTAAATCTGCCTGATGCTTGGACGTCCACATGAATCCATATGTATGAATTTCTGTATCTTGCAATATAGAAGCTTTAAAATAGGCTGTACGCATTATTGTAAGAGAGAACAGATATTCTTAAATGTTGGCTACTAATTCCAAGTTGTAATCAATATTACAATTTCTTTAGTTTTGAAGAACAAGTCCAAAAATATATTGTCGAAGGCTTTCATGGCTGGAATCACTAGGTTCTTGTGGGTTTTTTCGGGCTATAGAGC